TCTGTGCATGATTCCTGAGGACTCTGTGCATGATTCCTGAGGACTCTGTGCATGATTCCTGAGGACTCCGTTACAATTATCCCCCCGTCCAGTACGGGTGTCCGCACCCGTGGTGAAGTCTGCAGAGCGTAGCCCATTAAAAACCCAGTGGGAAAAGGTAGCTAGTTCTTGCAGGAGAAATAGTAATTGCGGGAAGACAGGAAGGCGATGGGGAAACGATAGTGTAAGGATAGACGGTTGCAGGCAGGAAAATTGGGGCCTGAGGCAGGAATTTGATAGGGCTGGAAAACCTCATGATTTCCTAGTTGGGGTGCAGGGGTTTGTTTGTATGGGTGGTGCGCTTTGTTGTGGTAAACAAAGCTTCTTTAACACAGTGAAACTGCGTGAAACAAAGCGTCTTCGACGTGTTTGTTTCTGCGTTTGTTTGTTCAGGGTTACAGGGCTTTGTTGTGAATTCATCCTCATGGGTATAAATCCCCTGTTGTTTACCTTTCAGTTTTCCTTTTCCCTCATCATTTTCCACAACAGCGACACGTTCTCACGTCGCTGTCGTTTCTCTGGTGTTTCTCCAGATTCTGGCTGTCATATCTTCAGGTAAGTGTGATGACCATTCCCATGTCTAAGTCTGACGACACGTTGCTGACTCGCTGTTGTTTTGCCGTCGTTTCAGTAGCGATCTAACTGCTGTGCGCTGATCATCATGCCTCCCCGCGGAACAGGTCGTGGTCGTGGCCGTGGCCGAGGTCGTGGCAAGGCCCCAGCAGCCCCAGCTCCTCCCAGTCGTTCGCCCACTCCATCTGAGGTTGAGAGTGTGATTTCCAGCTCGGACGATGAGCAGGAGGAAACCTCTAGTGCACCTGAATTCTCGCCAGCAGCTCGCTCGGTGATCACTGGTTCCGAGACTCCTACTCCCAGCGCTCCCAGCACTCCCACCCCCAGTGGACCCACTTCTCTTGCTGGTCTCCGCCGTGCCCTTACCGGTGGAGTCAGGAAGAAGAACCGCCCCCTTCGCCCTGTCGCCTATCTCCGCCATGTGGCGTGGTGCATGCACTGTTTCCGGACTTTCTTGGAGAACTGGGACACCAGTGGACCACCAGTGATCCCCTGCTGGGACGACGGCTTGTCGTCGAAGAGATGCCGTCAGTGCGCCAGCCGCAATAAGAATTGCGAGCCTGTGAGTGTTTCCAATAAGCATGGTGTTATGATAGCGGCTAACCAGCGTTTCTCTGTAGGTAAACGAAGGTATCCTTGGTGATGCGATGCGTCTCCAGTGCATTCTCGACTGGGCCAAGCCTTTCTGGGACAATGAGGACGATAACGAAGTTTTCGATTTGGACAATGCTGTCTTTGGTGACCTGGTCCAGGCTGTTCAGGCCCTGCTCGCCGGTTTCAACGTCCTCTTAGATGGTCACCGTAAGCAGTTTGGCATTGCTTCAGATAAGAAGCCAGCGAAGGTACGGTGTTCTGTTGTTGTTTCTCTAGCGTTTTGCTAACTGTTCGGTAGGACATCGCCAAGTCCTACGAAGCAGTTGTCCACAACCGTCGTGGATTGCTCCAGCCAATCCCTGTCACTGTCGGTATGTCGTCGCTTCGCCGTCTCGTCGCTGAAGCTTCGACTTACCCCGGTGCACGTCTTTCGGATGATGGTTACCATGCTTGGGCTTTTGCTGTGCGAACTTTTCGTTCCGCTGTTGTTGAGATTGTGGCTAGCCAGGAGAAGTACGATAACCTCTCTAACCCCCAGTACGACCAGCTTGAGGCAGATGTGGTCAAGGATTTCCCCGTTGAGGACTACCTTGTTTAGTCGTCGGGTTGCTAGTGTTTCGTTGGCTCGTAGGAGGGTCTTTTGCTGTTTATCCTTTCGAGGATAGTTTTTGTGTTTTCTCCGGTTTTGTGGATATGGCGGGTAGCTAGGGTGAGCTAGTTGTCTTGCTGTATTTTCGCTAGTGTTTTGTGGTCGGATCGATGTTTCCCCAGGATAATTCAATCAATTCGACCTTTTCTTTTGCTTCTGGAACTTTGCGATAATACCTCTAGCATTCCCCATGTCCGAGAGTGGTACCCATTGATTGTACTCGGAGGGCCATCCTTTCCATTTAACCAAGTAGTGTAGTTCATTCTGGAACTTCTTTTCACCCCGGACCTCCTCAACCTCCCACTCATCATCATCTTCTAGCTCTGGCATAGGTAGGGTTTCACTATCGTTTCGCTGATGCCATTCTTGGAGTAAAGAGACAGGGAAGACATTGTGTAGACGAGAGTATTGCTCGGGTAATGCTAGCCGGTACGCCTGCTTTCCAACTTTGTCAAGGATCCGGAAAGGTCCAATGAAGTTTGGGGCAAGTTTTCTTGATGGGTTCTTTATTCGGAGATTGCGGGTTGATAGTGCAACTAATTGTCCCCTTCGGAACTGTATAGGTTCGTGGCGTTTATTGTAGTGTTTCGCCTGCGATTCGCTTGCTTTTCGCCATGCTTCTTGAAGCCTTTCTCGTAGCTTTTGCAACTTTTCTAGTCGTGCTGTAGTTGCTGGGACTTCCTCCCTGGAAGCGCCGTCCTCGGCGCGCAATTGGAAGTTTGGGTCATAACCGTAAAGTGCTTTGAAAGGTGTAAACCCTGTGGTTGAGTTTATAGCATTATTGGTGGCAAATTGGGCTGTAGGGAGGAGGACTGGCCAATTGGTTTGTTCCGTATTGACGAAGCATCGAAGGTAGCTCTCGAGTACTTGGTTCATCCTTTCCGTTTGGCCGTCGGTCTGCGGGTGAAACGCTGTCGAAAATCTCAATTTGACATGGCTTTGGTAGCAGAGTTTAGACCAGAATTTGCTAGTAAAGACTGATCCTCGGTCTGAAACTATGCTATTTGGCGGGCCAAATCGGAGTTCGATTTCTTGGTGAAACAATTCAGCTAGTTGCACAGCATCAATTGTAGATGAAACGGGTAGGAAGACGGCGTATTTTGAAAATCTATCCACGATAACTAAGATCGCGTCGACGGTGTTGTCCTTGTAAATTGTCTGTGGCAAGTGGGTGATAAAGTCCATTGCTAGATCGCTGAAGGGTCGCTGGGGAATCGGTAGCGACTGTAGTTCGCCATAAGGTCGATGCCTTGGTGTGGCTGCCCCTTGGCATACTGCGCATTCTTTGACGTATTGGGCCACGTCCTTTTGCAAGTTAACCCAATGGAATTTGCGTTTTAGTAACTCGGTGGTGCGAGTTCGACCGAAATGTCCTGCGAGTGGATCATCATGGTAGATATTTAGCAGTTTCTGACGTAGGCCATTTCTTATGGGGATGTACAACCTATTTTGGTATCTAAGGAGGCCTTCATGGTCGACTAGCCATCCATGGTTCCCGCGCTTTTCTAGCTTAACGTCGGTGATACGACGGCGGGTCTCTGGGTCTCCGCCCTGTTCCTGTCCGATCTGGGACTTTAAATCAGTCGTGGAGTTCAATTCCTGAACTGACCAACCCGTGGTCCCACGCTTGGCTTGTGAGACTCCGACGTTTCCACGCCTTGCCTCTGAGACTCCGACGATTCGACGCCTTGCCTCAGGGTCCTCACCCTGTATTCGCCCAATTAAGGTCTTCAATTCTGTCGTGGCGTCTAGCCCGTAGACTTGTTCAACCACACAGGCGCGCTCAACCTCCCGCTGGGTGATCGCACGATCTCCCTCAGCGGTGCGAACTGTCATGGCGTCTTCTTCTAAGACTAGGGGCAAAACCATGCAGCGGTGACTAACGACTTTTTCACGGGACGCACGACGGCGGTACGCTGGGTAGCGCAGAGGTACTCGATGGTACAGAGAAGCTCGACGGCGTTTCTCTCCCTTAATAGACGCTCGACGGCGTATCAGCACTCGACGGTGCAGAGATGCTCGACGGCTATCTCTCTTCTTGCTAAGCTCCGGCGTCCCGGGCTCGCTAAGCTCAGTCGTAGGCACATCCTGGCTGGCCTTGGTTGCAGGCACATCCTGACCGGTATTCATTTCTTTGACAGCAATTTGCTGTACATTCACCCCCTGATCGCTAGCGAAGCGCTCTTGGATCGGGGTCGTAAGTTCAGCTGCGGGCGCAACCCGACTGGCATTTGGTTTCCTTGATAAGCCATCCGCGGGATTGGTCTTCCCAGCGCGATGCTTTATAGTGAACTCGAACGGAGTTAAAAACATAAGCCACCTTGCCTGTCTGCCGTTAAGCTTAGGCTGCTTCATAAATGTCTGGAGATTAGCATGGTCTGAAAGCACCTCGACGGGATACTTGCTACCCTCTAGGTAGTGCCTCCATTGTTTAAACGAATAAACGATAGCGAAAAGCTCTTGATCTGGCGTCGCATAACGGAGCTCCGCGCCAATAAATTTCTTTGACCAGTACGCTACGGGGTGCCATGTCCCGCTAGCGTCTGGCTGCGAGAGGATTCCAGCCATCCCAAGGTTTGATGCATCAGATTCGATACGGATCCGTTTTTGTGGATCAAAATGCTGGAGCACTGGGGCTTCTTGGAATGCATTGAGAAGCCGGTGAAACGCTTGCGTTTCTTCGTCGGAGAGCAAGACATTACCAGGCTTCTTGCCATTCTTACTTCCTCGAAGCAGGGAGGTTAGAGGTAATGCAATCAGGCTATACCCTTGGATAAATCGTCGATAAAAGTTGCAGAATCCTAGGAATACTTGGATTTCATGGTAGCTTTTTGGGATTTCCCATGAAGCGATAGCGTCGACGCGCTGTCTATCCATTGATATGCCATTCCTAGACACCACGAATCCTAGGAATTCAACCTGGTCTTGGTAGAAGGTGCATTTTGCAGGTTTCGCGTATAGCTGTGCCTGTCGTAACCTCTGTAGCACTTGACAAATATGCTCTGTGTGGGCCTCGCGGTCCGGCGAGAAGATCAGGATATCATCGAGATACGCCACACAAACGACATCGAGAAGCCCTCTTAACGCCGTGTGAATATAATTCTGAAAAGTGGCTGGTGCATTCGTAAGACCAAACGGCATGACTGTATACTCGAAATGGCCATAGCGAGTGCGAAAGGCTGTTTTCCACTCTTCTCCTTCACGGATCCTGATCCGATAGTACGCATCTTGTATATCAATTTTGCTAAAGAACTGCGCGCCAGCGAGTCGATCGAGGATCTCCGAGATGAGAGGAAGGGGATACCGGTTTTTGACTGAGACCTTATTTAATCCCCGATAGTCTACACAGAGACGTAGACTGCCATCCTTCTTTGGAACAAATAGGATAGGGGCCCCTGCTGGACTTTTCGAGGGTCGGATCCGACCATTGTCAAGGTTTTCATCTAGGTAGGACCGAAGCTCTCGAAGTTCTGTCTGAGAGAGAGGGTAAATTGGGCCATACGGCGGCGTTTCGCCGTCTTTTAGCTCGATAGTATGGTCTGTTGCTTTCTGAGGTGGTAGGGTCTTGGCATTTTCGGGAGCGAATACGTCGCGGTACGCTAGTAATTCGCTAGGGAGACCCTCCTCACGTGAGGCGGGGTATTCTTGGTTGTCTCCTGGAAGCCACACTTCCTCAGGAAGCTTTACCACCGCATACACGTACGCGTGGTTCCGGCATTCCTTTACAAATTGATATGGGGTGGCTATCGAGTATGACGGTGCGACATACCACCACTGGCGTTTATGTGGCGAAAAGTCGACGTGTTCATCTCGCACCGTTGTCATAGATAGGAGAACCGGGCTTCCTTCGAGGCGAGGGTCTCGATCGATAGCTAGACAACGCCTTTCGAAGGTGCGAGTAGTCCCCCGCGAGTCGGTCGCCGTGATAGGGACTATCCACACCCCATAAGTAGGTGTTGACCTTCGATTGATAGCTGAGATAATGACGCCGGTGAGTGGTGCGCGACGGAGTCCGTATTGCTGAGCAAATTGATGACTGACGATGTCAACCTCGGCTCCGCTATCGAGATCCGCATGCGTTTCGATGTCGCCCCGTACGGTAATTGGGATATATAGGCGGCTTGTGGTCCCAATTTTATCTTGAGGGGTCGGTGTCCCGGCTTCTACACCGACCCTCTGGCTTTTCCCGAATGCGCTGGTGCCGACTGAACCTTAGTCGAATTTTGGGGGCACTGGTCCTTCCAGTGGTCTGTTGACCCGCAGGTGAAACAGCTGTATGGTTTTTGTGGAGTTGTATTATCGTTTCGCTGGCGATCATGCGGCTTTGCGCCGAATTCACGCCGGTTTGAATATGGTTTAGTGTTTGGGTTTCGGTCACCACCTCGTCCTCGGAAGCTTCCACGGTTCCATCCTCGGCCCCGACCAAAGTTGGAGGATGGCCCGTTGAAGTTAGTCCGTTTTCGATATCCCTGTTGGTCAGGGGAGTGATGTCTTTTGTTTGTTGAGCGGGGAGGGTAGTCCTTTGTTCCCGACTCCGTTTGAATGAGGTTCCAATAGTGCATCGCTGTCGATACCATCTCGTCCCGATTTTTAGGCAAATGAAGCATAGCATTCTGGATACGTGATCGGAGGCGAAGCTGTAACTTAGTGAAGAAGTTAAGTGCCCGTTGATCCTCCGACGGTGCTTCGAAATGTCTTTCGAGCGAGAGGAGGTAGGAATTAAAATCGCTTGGACTTTGATTCGGACCTTGCCGGGCCTCTTGTAAAGAGGTAGCGATGTCGGCTTGTAGTGTGGCCGAATTGTGTAGTAACGTAAGAGTCCATTTCTCGAATAGTTCCCATGTCGTTTTGTAAGCGGTTCGCTGGGGCTCCGCCTTCTCTTCGACATAGTGTCGCCATCTTTCGCGACAGTCAGAACTCATGCAGTTGGTGGCACCAAGGATCTTTCTCTCGTCCGATCCATATTTGCGGGGTGCGCCTGCGAACATGTCTTGGAGGTCATTGAGCCAGGTTTGGCGTTGTTGTATACTGTAGTGTGCTTTAAAAATTGCAACTTCGATTTTGATTTCTCCGGAAGCTCGTCCTCGATCAGATGATGTAGAGGAAGAGCGTCGATGGCGATCCGACAACGATTTCTCGGTTATTTGGCCGATTGCTTCCTCGAGTTCCTTCTTTCGGGTAAGCAACGCATGAAGGGTTTCGAGGCGTTCGACCTCAGCGAGGTGCTCGCTAAGTTGGGAAGTCCGGTCCTGAGAATTGTTCTCCGGGCTGCTACTTCCGTCGTAGATAGTGGCGGGAGGAACAATGGACTCGGTGTCGGTTCGGTGTGGGTTCGCTGGCGATCCCCGAGCGACCGACGATCGGGTAGTCATTGTTGCTTTGGGAGGCATCTTCAATCTTAGGTAGTTGAAGAAGAAGGATCAGAATTGTAAAGAAAGGGGTTCTAGTATTTGCAGGATAGAGCCTGTCAACTAGGTAAGACGAAGATGCCTGGGAAGCAAGTAGTATATTGGAGGAATACAGAGACTGATCCTTGGAGAACCTCTGGGTTCTCCTGGAGTGCACTATTTAACATGGGAGATCAGCGTTGCGGTGAGGAAGCGCTGACGTGTCGACACCTGTATGATGTTGATCCTCTGACAGTGCGAGAGATCTGTGCATGATTCCTGAGGACTCTGTGCATGATTCCTGAGGACTCTGTGCATGATTCCTGAGGACTCTGTGCATGATTCCTGAGGACTCCGTTACACTTTATTACTACCTCGCAGTACGAAGGAGATTGTCGACAGCGTATCACCCCTAAACAGACGGGCAGACTAAACGGCAGAATCAGACCCTCGAATATTACCTTCGGTCCTATGTCAACTAGGAGTAAGACGATTAGGCTCGCTAGCTTCTAATAGCTCAGTTCGCATATAACCAGTCCCCTCATAGTGTGATAGGAATATCTCCTTACCAGTTTCTCTTAGGAGAAAAGGTTGATCTCCGTAGAAGCGTGGAAGAGCTTCCACAGGACCACCACCTAGATGCTACGAGTAGGGTGCGAAGTATTTAGGAAATGCGCTTTTTCCTGCGGGAAAAGCTAGAGAAAGCCAAATAGGCTATAAAACACCAATACGATAAGAATCGCATTAGCAAGGACTTCAAGGTCAGCGACCTAGTCTCCGTGCGAAGTAAGAACATTAATATAGGTCGACCTAGTAAGAAGCTAGATGCCAGGATACTTAGCCTATTCCCGATTATCGATAAATTCGGCACGTAGTCTTACCGAATAAAGCTCCCACCCCTTCTTAGGAAGATACACCCCACCTTCCACGTCTCTATGTTAGAGGATTATCGTGGTAAGGGTGCGAAGGAAGGCCTAGGCCCTATGATTATTAAAGGGGAACCTAAGTACGAAGTCGAACGCATCTTAGACTATAAGGGTACTAAGAAACGTATATACAAAGTAAAATAGGAAGGCTACGGGGACATAGAAGCAACCTAGGAGCCTAGAGAAGGACTCGAGCACCTCGATGCGCTACGTCTTTACGAAGAGAAGCTACGGTGCGAGCCTAAAAGAAGTTCAAAGCGCCAGCGGCGCGGGAAACGCAAACTATGATATTCATTATCTACGTCCTTAGGAAGCGCAATTGCGATCTGAACTAGGGACCATCCATAACCGTGCGCCGGGTAACCACGCGCAATTAGCCAAAGAAGAGATAGCCTAACAGACGGCGAATTAGAGATTTAGTCGGGATAGGAGTAGCCTCCTTAGTGATAGGCTTAGGGGAGCTCGCATCACTAGAACCCGAGGACACATCCTCAGCTAGGGTGGACGAGGCGAGCGTAGCTAGGTTAGCTACGTCTACCTTAGCGGCGGCGCGACGATCCTCTCTAGTAAAAGACTTAGTCTTTTCGATCAGACCCTTAAGAATAGTGACGCGCTACTCCTAACTAGTGGGGACTAATAGCGCATACTCGACCTCGGGGACTAACTCTGAGTACACCTACGCGTGTTAAAGTTAGTAAGCTTAGAAGTAAACAAGGAAGAAACAATATACCTACTCGCAACGATAACGAAGCCGACGGCATCGTGCACACTTCTTAGAAGTAGGGTCGTCGAATACACACTACACGTCGGGCTAATGCACTAGGCGAAAGATACATCGCTAGCATAGCAAGGCGCCATCCAACCCTAGTCCACTAGCGCGTGCTACGACCGTCTCCGATACGTCTTCGGAGCCAAAATCCTCGAAAGGAGGCGAAGGGGAAACCTCCTCATGCGAGGTGGAAGAAGCAGTCTCCTAGCCGGAGCTAGAGCTACCCTAAGGGGAGCTAGGAGCCGGCGGGGGAGAAGAACTCTCCTAGGAGGAGGAGTCAGACATCCTGAACATACGAATCAGTAACAGTTATTCAAATAGGGACGTTTAACGCAAGACGGGGGCGAGTAAGAAGCATAAAGAGCTTCCCAAGCAGTATTAAGGATACTAGGAAGCTTAGGTGCGCTGTTAACAGACATAGAAGAAGCTCAGACAGCATCAAAATAGAAGCTAGAGAATCTCTATGTGAGGCACCATTAAAGATCAGACGGCCCGCACGTGAACTAGACCCCATACGTAGGGTCCCGAAGCATATAAACAAAGCCGAAAGAGCCTCATGCGAGAGCTAGTTCGCTAGGCTAAGGCTCGAGGGACCTACATATATCTCCAGGAAGCAAGATAAACTTCATTGAAGACGCATGGAGATGCTCAGGACCCGATGAAGATGAAAATTGATAGAATCACTTACTTAGTGGAAGTTGAAGATGCGTTGTTAAAAAGAAGAAGAAACGTCAACATTAGACCTTATTTATACGCTGTGCCTATCAAAACTCCGTCTGATTTCGCACCCATCTTGATGCAAACATTACTGCCATCCTTCCTTAGGCAAACCTACCAAACACACCCCTCTCAGTGAGATACAAACATAACAAAGAAGTCAAACTAGGCCACGATGCGGTAGATACCTTTCCTGCCTACCAGGCTTTTTGCCCACGGGGTTTTTGCCCAGGCCAGGTTTTAATGGACCACACTCCACCAGCGAGTTCAGCATCTTAAAGTCGAAGACTTAGACGCACATTATGACAACAAATCGTCCAGGCCGCGAGGCCGCGGCCTCGGAAGGAGGGGGATATTGTCAGGACCACAATCCTAGCATACCTACGGTTCACACTGTGTTGCCTGAGGCCTCACAGTGTGAGGCCTGACCAAGCATATATGCTACATATGAGCTATCTACTCGCCTACTTGGACTTAGTAAGCGCACCATGTATTTATACCTTCAGCTGGCCTCAAATGGAGAGGGCAGCGATTAGTTTTTTATTAGATCATCGAAGACTACGCACTTTCCCCTTAAAGACTCTATTGCCCGAATTATACTGCCTAGGACACGCACCGTCCTCACACTTAAGTACGGCTGAGCGGACGGGAAGCCCTGTTCTCCACACCCTGTGGTCGTATGTACTAGCATTAGTATGGAAGGGATATGTATCCTTTGATTAGGATAGCCAGTCTAGTGGTATCGCCTGGGGAAGTATAGGGTGAGGGCCACTTTAGGGTTGCGCGACCAGGGATGAGAAGGGTGAGTGCGAAATAGTTGGGTGAGAATCACCCCTAGTCGCGCGATCATCACTTTTGTATGTATGGCCAGTTATACAACTCGATGCCTAAAACACCAACGGCGCCTAATAAACAGTGGATAACTAGTTATTGATTCTTGAAACGGACACAAGTCTATTCATTTGTGCCAATGGGTCTCGCGTGCGCAATTGATGTGATCTACAGATACAGGTCATATGTTCTTACCCACTGCCCCACTACAATTTGACCCGGCAACCAACCCACCATTTTATTTTTCTTCCTACACCTCCCCTATTGCTCCAATTGCAATGAAAATAGGCGCAAAAAATAGCAAAACGGCGCAGCTTACTGCTATACAAAGGTCAGCTATTGTGTCTGCTCATGAGTGTGGTGTCTCGTAGGTGAAATTAGCTAATGATTTCGGCTGTTCTCGCAAGACAATCTACAATACGCTTAAGCGCTATCACGAAGACAGCACCCTTGAGAATCGTGAAAAAACCGGCCGTCCTTCGAAGCTAGACTCTCGAGCTATCAATTCCCTCTATTTACAAGCGCGCCGGCATCCTTTTTGGACATATAAACAGCTTAGTGCTGCGACACCCGGTCATCCGGCTCAGTCTACTATACAGCGAGTTTTAAGGCAATTCGGACTCGGAAAACGGCGTTCGAAAAGGAAGATACCAATTAAGCCCTCTCTTGCAAGGAAATGGCTAAGATTTGCGCGAAAATGGCGGCGTGAAAGCTTTCAATCGTGGATCTTCTCGGACGAGTGTTCGGTGCAGCGAACCTCGAACTTTAGACCATAATGGTGCTTCCGTACGGACTCTGAGGGTCTTCGCCGCGATCTTGTGAATGCGAAAGTACACGTTAAAGATATTTCACAAATGGTTTGGGCCGGAATCTGGATAGGAGGTCGAACAGATTTAATAATTATAGAACGGGACGAAGAATCGCGGTCGGGAGGAGGTTATACCGCAAAGTCGTATATTTTGGCGCTCGAAAAAGGTCTAATGCCAATCTACACCCCTAATTTAGTATTTCAGCAAGATAACGCGACGATTCATCTAGCACAGGACACGAAAGAGTGGTTTGAAACTCACGGAGTATACGTCGAAGACTGGCCCGCGCACTCACCCGATTTGAACCCAATTGAACCGGTATGGCGCTGGTTAAAAGTGAAACTTTTTGCAATATTTCCAGAGCTTATTGGCCAAGGAAGGTCGGAGGCAGACTGGAAATGTTTTAAAAAATGCCTGGTGGAAGCTTGGAAGGCATTAGATCAGTCGAAGATAGATTCGCTAATATTGAGCATGGGAAGACGTTTGAAGGCAGTGAGGAAGGCTAAGGAGTATTACACCAAATATTAAGCGAAAATTTTATTGTGCTATTATTAAGCATTTCAATAAATTAAACCTCATTATTATAGACCATAAAATGGTGGTGCTATATACTGTGTAAGTGATATATATATTTTGAGAGGGGACCCCAAAAAGTGGAGTGGGTAAGAACATTTGAACCCCCATGTACCTCCTCCCTTCTCACAGCACTGAATGCGTTGATATTCACTTCATGTTGGCCCGGGGTACAAAGGTGAGCGTCCCCGGAAATCTATCCACTTTGATTGATCTACTGTAGTCGGCGAGAACATCACTCTAAAGACCAATTATAAATATATTGGCTACCCTGCTGTCAGCAAAACCGAATCAAACAGCTACTTCATTGGACACGCTGCCACCGCTCGTCAGATTAACCACTGTGCAGCCTCCTGTCCCGATACAGAAATTGCACTGGTATCCTACTCTCAGGGTAATTCGATCTTGGGTAATGCCACTGAGTCTACTGTTTTAAAGGAGGCCTCGAAAACATGTTTGTTTTCCACCTTTTTCTTTGTTCGATTTCGGTACAATGGTGATCCCCGGCATACCCCGAGACAGCCTTACAACATGGGTAGAAATTGTTCCGATGTTACAGGACTACGTTCCTATTTTGAATCTCTCTGACTAGGCTAATCTTTCATTGAATAAATATCTTCGTCTTGACTACCAGATCGAAAATTTCAGTGCCAGATTCGGCGACTCCACTACAGACTGGGGCACCAACGGTGATGATGGGTGGGTGTCTGCTCTCCTTCGGCTGGCGCGAACGCTCTTACCCTCCATATTTCGTATATCACATTTTTTAACGCTAAAGCAGCAGCTTGGCTTCTCACGCAAATTGCCGCCCCGATTAAGGAACAAGGTCATGACGCAGGCAACATGACTCCATCTGGCGGAGCCGTGATTTCCGGAGGATGTCGAGCTTAGTTGATAGATCTGCGTTATCTGTTAAAAGGTGGAAGCTACCAGGATATTGCATTTTTAAGGCGATCTAGTGAGCTACCCCTCCATCTAGTCCAAGATCTTCCTCAGATAACTGGTACAACTCCTTTCCCAATTCCCCATCGACGCGATACTTTTCGCCCACAGTGGAAAACTCGTAAGGCTCAGTAGGGACAGTATAATGCTGCATAATAATGTCATACATCTGCCAAACGTCCGGGTCGACACGAGCCTCTCGGACAATATTTCGTTTACCATCCAAATAGAGCAGCCGAAGTTGCTTGGTTTGGAAGGCTTCCTCATCCGCGATGAGAAGATAGACCTCGGCAACGACCCTATGCAGGCTACTGGCCCAATCCAGAATAATCTCATCCCGGCTTTCCCTTTCTTTCCAGTCATCTGGACAATTCTGCTTCACGGTAGAGATATGCTTCTTAAAGTTATTTCGAAACAACTCTAACTGATCGTGAGGTATATATCGTAGCTGTCTTGAGTTTGTTGGGCCAGCAACCTCAGGTAGAATCTCAAATATTTGCCTCCAGTCATCGCCGAAATTGAAGAGTTTCTCGTCGTTAAGGCATGCCCAGTCTAAGGCTTCTTCAAACGTCTCGTCATCTATCCATGCTTTCAGTGTCTCCTCGTCTTCTAGGTTGGAGCTGTAGTGGGTTCGAAGAAGGACAGGTATTCCATCGCCGCTATGCATCCACTCGGCCTTTTTACGGAGGGCATCTGGTCTCCAAGGCTGAAGGATTATTTCAATTTCTTCGGCGGTTGGCTGTCGAGATGGAGAGATCGCATGTAAGTCCATAAAAAATTCATCCGGAATCTCGTCTAAGTCAAGGAAGCCGTAAATAAGTCGAAGACGTTGCTCAGAAGGAGACTCTGGCGAGGCTGAATCCCAGTTTCTCTGTTTAAACGTGTTAGCGAGTTCTCCAAGGTTGAGGCTCTGAGACATACGATCAAAAATTGTTCAACGGCTAGTCCGCCCCATGGGATGTTTTCCTTCCTCATGATGGAAACAGTGAGAAGAAATAGGAAGAAACACAGGGGAAAGGTATCTCGGGTTTATTGAGGTAGTGGAGGTGGGGCTTTAGTGAGGGGGCCAAGTTGGCTTGGCTTGGCTTGGCTTGGAGAAACAAGGAGAGAATATGAGAGAATATGAAACAAGCTATTTAATTAGTAACAAAGTAAAAAAGGATATGCTTGAAAGCTCCGTCTATAGCAATTATTTACATGTATAAGGGAAAGAATCAAAGCCAATTTTATATACAAACAAGCTAGACTGACCCGGGCGCGATCTATCTATTGTAGTGGAGGATTGGGTTAGCTAGCTCTCTCTCTTTCTCTCCTTCGCCCTCCTGAGCCTTCCTCGGTACTTGGTCCGTCGGCCATCCCTGTTCAGCGAATATCATTACATGTATTTCTTCATGCTCCTCTCTATCCGCGATCTCTAGACCCAGGGCTAAAAGACATAATCTGTAAGGCAGAAACCCAGGAGCAGTATCCGTTGTAGTATACAAGCAAGCCGACTACGAGAATGTTCAATAACGGTTCACATATATTTGCTATAAAAGATTTAACACCCCACGGTTATCTATAACGCCAAGATTCAATCGACAAATTCCACGCCTAGGTAGGTGAGCCACGGCGTTTGAAATATTGGGGTATATTGACTTACGTTCAACTTCCCAGCCATTCCAACTTTGGCTATCTCTCTTGGTATTGGACGGGTCCGGGGTTTGGCCTTGTGTGTTGCCAAATGTGATCAAGCATTTGCCCAGATTGTGCATTTGTTGCCAGTCACTCGCCATGCCTGAGCCATCATTCCTAAGACAGAAGCCGTTATACTTTTTCCCTTTTTCAGTCTCCAACTTGTACACATCGTCCTGACCGAAATTATTCATTGCGCAAAAGATCGCCTCGCCTCCTGCATCCCCCTCGTAGCCTTCACTGTACCAGCGGCGGCTAACAAAGTTCCACCAGTCATCAGGCTTGGAGCCATCACCGACCCATGTAGCACGATAGTCTCTCTTGAACGTCCATGATTCTTTGTCATTGTTCTTGTTTTGCATCATTTGTCAGAGATTAGGTCATTCGGTAACGCATTGATCGCCAGTATCTAGACTTACCCGCACTGAAATACCATCCGGAAGCGGTTGTTTCACTCCGTATTCCTTCAGTTTCTGCGCAAATTCGTTGTTGGGTCCAGATGTGGCAGTTCTAGTCCACTCTAGAGGGTTCCAAAGAGAGTCAGGAGGATTATCAAAAGGATTATTAGGGAACCGTAAAAACATACTGTCGTTTCTCCATGGCACCCAATAGTCTTCCACATCGTCGTTATTGGCGGTGTCGGCATCTAGCATTTTCCAATTTGAGCTCATGTCACCAATCATTGCTAGAATCTGTCAGCGGAGTGTCTATTCCAAAGAGAAAAAGGAATTCATCGAGTCGTCATTCAACAGGTACTTACCAAGGCATTGCCCATGCCAGTTATTCTGCCAGTATGGCACGCACGCTGCTCGACGGCTGTTGGAATCGAGATAATGCCCTCCTTGCTCAGAGGACTTCCAGGGAAACTCGTCACACTGAAGTTTCAGGGCGTTGCCCGTGCCCATGAGGGCGTTCAAGTTGTCTGTTTCGTCTGCACATGCGCCCTTCTTTCTTTTTTTGCCACTTGAGTCGGTTGTAGATCCACATTGGGCTTCGTATCTTGCTTTAGTTGCTGTTTTATCGTTGGAGTAGGTCAAGTCCGTCGGCAGATTGGGGATTTTCAGGATGGTGTCACAAAAGCCAGCTACCTCTGCGGTCTTGCCCTGGTTACTGGGCCGAGCTCCGGTAAGCTTCAGTCTGGATAGATGCGCACAGTTGACTATTTCTTGGATTAACAGAAGTTTCAAATGGAATATCGTAGCAACGTCAACTCACATCGTATCTCCGGCACTTGGAACCCAGAAGTTCCAGGCGGGCAAGAGCCAGGCAGAGAAAACTCTGAATCGTTGGGATTATCTGTGAGAGTTGTCAGCCTTCGAGCTTCTAGTCAGATCTATGGCATTCAGTTGCATACCCGCACTCCCATCTTCGCGACGAGTGAGCCCCATAGCGGCATCAAGGTAGGGCATCGTAGCATTTGTGGATAGTGCTTCAGATCCCTGTCGCCGATGGATGGTGCTATCGAGTGATAGGTCTCTTGTCTCCTTGTCTGACGAAGACATCGGGATTGTGCCCTTCTTCTCATACAAAGTCACCGTGTTGTCTGGCGTAAATGCTTTGCGAGGGGCCAAAGCCCAGTCAATGAAACCCAGGATGTTGGCCTTAGCCTTATAACCGAGGTTATAGAGGAGGTAGGCACCAAATCGGTAATGGAAGGCATTGTCTGAGGAATCATAGTCACCATGGGCCTGGAATGACAGATCGCCTGTCACGTACCCTGTCAATTGGGCGTCCATGAGAGTCTTGCCGCCGACTAGCTTGCCGCCACCAATTTTGATTCCGACATTGGCTTCAGGTGTGACAATTACATCTAGCTGTGCATCGACAGCGACTCCTGCGTGGAAAACCGGCTTAATACTTCCAGGAGCTGGTGCCTTGGCATCACTCGTAATTCCGAGTAAGGATCCATATTTCTCCTGAGCCTCATCATTCTGAGGCCAGTAGACCTCGGCCTTTCCGAATGTAACCATTGCTCCTGCATCAAGCTCCCCGTGTAGGGTGATTTTACCCCGAATCTATACGCAAGGTCAGATACTATTCGACCAATTGGTATATAGTCGGGTATTACCTCGCCGTAAATGTCCAAAGTAGGACCAACCGCTGCAATCCCCTTGACAGCCAGACCCGGATAGGAGAGAGTATCGACAATCTTCTTCCGCACACTGGGGGTCTGCATTTGGGCATTTCCTTCAATATGGAGGCCTATATAGGCTTGTGGCTCCATGCCGAAGTAGGCAAATGTTTCTGGTTTACTCGGCGGAATGAACGTTGCTGAGAGATAGTATGCGTACGTTGCATCCATCGCCAGATCAGCCTCCAGATCCATACGGAGGTCAGCGTAATAGGTCTTGCCGGGACACCCCCACTGCGCATAGAAAAGGTTGATGGTTTTGCTGAAACCCAATTCTATAACGCCCACACTAGACTTTGTCACAGTTGTCTAAATTCGTGGTTAGTATGTGCAAAGATACAATTAGCAGAGTCAGCGCACAACATACCAACTTGCTCAACCAATCTCCAAAGACGCCAAACCAGCGCTTGTTATGTGCCGGCGTCGAGTCAGAGGTATCCATTTCCGTCTTTACCTTGATGTTCTCCTCTCGTTTCCGAACATTCTTATCCCGAGAAACAGCCCTTTGCACACGCGATCGCCATTCAGGCTCCGAGAGACCTTGCTCGCCAACGCTTCGTTTCATGCGACTAGCTGGGGAATCTGTCATCTCGTCCCAATAGCCCATCAAGTTCGTGTAATCAACACGAATTTGCACAGGCTCGTCATCTCGTTTCAGTTTGATGTTTTGGAAATTGTAGTCAATTTTGACCTCATAAACGGGGTTTTCGAGATGCTCCAACGAACGGTGTGCCAAATGGTGATCTGGCAACTGGAAATCCCCATCTGCTTCCTTCATGGAAACGATGCGAGCGAAAGGTCCTTCGCCGACATGGGGTGGCAGTGAGATAATGGTATCCTCTGCACCATCGATAAAGACACGTTTGCACTCTTTAGAATCGGCAGGGTAGTTGCAATAGACGTGGAAGGTTTCTTCAGCATGGTCGAAGACGCTGTCCATGACCGTCTGGTTGCTGGTCAAGATGGAACGCTTGGTCTTGGCGATCTTTTCAGAGCGACGGACAACAGTTTGACTGCTTGCAAAGTCATTGTCAAGCGAACCGTCCGGACCATCAAGCATCACAAATCCATATGCATCGCTGCCATCCTCTTCTGACGAACGATCCTGATCTGCATCGTTGTTTTGATATTGGTCGCTGTATTTCCACGCCACGTCCGACTTATCGGGGTCATTGTAGTACTTCTCCCAGAGGTACTTGGGATCCACCGGCCAGTTCTTGTTGTACTTCGTCGGCAGGCTGCAGCAATAAGACCACTCTGGATCCATTCCCACATCAACATCATAGCTTCCACAGGCAACACCTCCATTGGCACCGCTGCCGGTTAGCGGTGGATCGAGAGCGCCCGCAATTTTCACACTCCCGGCCGGGCATGGCCGTGGCTTGCAGATCAAATCAGCAATGTGTTCAGAACTTGAATCACCACCTAACTCCTCTCTAGTGAGAACATTTGTCCATCTGCAATTTTTGAAACTCTGGTCCGAATCGCAGCACAATCCACTCTTGAATTTTGTCTTATGCGGGCTCCCCGGTGGATATCCGGGGACAGGAGATATGTAGGTATCTGAGCACCATGGTTTACCGTTGGGCTTGTCAAACCGATACGTCTTGTAACCAGTGCCTGTCGGGCATGTAGTTGGATCTTCTTCAACCAAAGGTCCTTGGCAATCTGTCCAATCGCATGTGGAGAATATGGCAGCCGAGTCACAGCATAGGAAACGGGCTCCAGTAAAACACTGGCCCTCTCCCTTTGCATCGAGTGCCGTGTCTTGATTTAACTTGAACTGGTTGCTGCCACATTTTCCGTCGCATCCAAACTCGCTCCGCTCCGGGGCACCATTCCACTCGCAGGACTTGGGCATTGCGTCCTTCGGGCAGCAGATCTGTCGGTACCAGCCCTCATCGCAGTCCCCATGGCGCTCCTTGTTTGTTGCCTGGAGAGGATTGTGGGCGGTAGATACAGATAAATACCCTGATGGGCACACCTGATCAGGATTTTTCTCGTGGCTTGACCCATCTGTGCAGCGATCTGTCACAAAGCAGTTTTGACCAGTATAAGCAGCAAATGCATCGGCGAGAACATCGCTTGAACGACTATCTTCGTTGCTTTTCATCTGCAACGAAGAAAGATCCTCGCCAATTAGTCCAGTCAGAGCATCGAATTCACCATTGTCCTGATCAATGGCCCAAACCATCCAGCCGCTCAGACAGCGCTTGGAAACGAATCTTTTCTTATCGCTGAACGACTGTTCATCGTCATACGAGATCCATTGTGTTCCTCCGTATACATTGTATTTGACTGTTGTCTTTGGATCATAAGATGTATGCACATCTAGCGAATTGTTGCGAGAGCTGATTTCTGCGTAAGACAAAATGCCGGCTGTATCGGTGCACGAACCGGGAATGCCACCATCACTGAACTCGCATTTCCCATCTGGCTTGGAGCAGCTTGAGTCCTTCATCGTAAATGATCGACCATAGAACGCGAACCCAAAGACAACATTTGATGGGTCGATGTCATTGCGCCAGAGAAGGTCCAAGCCAAGCTCTATCTGACTTATATCGGTATGGCCCTCCAAGTACGGACCGGTGAATTTGATATTCTGATCCCACATGCCATGAAGGTCGTAGCTCATGAGATTGAAATAGTCAAGATACTTCTGCATTCCCTTGACATCAAATCCGCGTAGGTACCAGTAGCTTGTTGGAATGGTTGCGGAGATCTCCCATCCGGGGTTCTCTCGGTCGAATGCCTCTCGCATTTCTGCTAACAGGGTGACATAGTTCGTAGCGTCCTGGCTTCGACCGCCACGATCAGAAGCACCAGGGTACTCCCAATCGAGGTCAATGCCGTCTAAGTGATAATCCTGTAGATATTTCACCACGGAGTTGATAAATGTCTGTCGATTCTCATACGAACCAGCCACTTTTGCAATATCAGTATCGTGTATTTTACGGAATGGTCCAGTAAACTGATGACTTACTTTCAGTCCATAATTGTTGTGTTGGGATATCACTGAAAGTCCACCCTCCAACAGCAATATTGAGCCGCAGGCCTGGGTTGGAAAACTTGAGGAATGACATGCGATCGACGATGTCACCATACTCATCAACGATATTAAAGTCATCGCCAAAGTTCACGAACGCCAAGTTGATATGCGAGAAAGGCTCAATCACAAGTGACTCTGGTTCAATGACATTGCAGCTCTTGTCAATGTTGAACAGCTCGTAGTATCCTATACGTCTATCATAAGACATCGCACTGGTACTATCTGAACAGGTCGGACGGCTGGGTTGCCTCTATTAGTAATTGCCATGATAAGCCGGGTACACCGAACACTCGCCTTGGATCACCACATCCACCTCCATTTGAATTGGGTTCACAACCGTCACCGCAAAATTCCGAGGTAACTCCACAGTATCCAAAGCCGCTGAGTCCTTATTAGTACATGGCCGTGTGCACACAGGATATTAAAACGCTGTTTGGAGCTTACCTGCAGCATACATTGATTGGACAGTCAAAGTTCTCGGGAGGAGCATACTGACCACACTCTGCAGTTGCGTTACAACTGGACTTGCAGCCATCGCCGCAATGATCAGGAGTAAAGCCACACGAGTATTCTTTGCTACAGCAGCCCTGATAACATGGAATGGAGTCTGAACACGTTCCACCTGGCTCTCCAACTCCTTGCGCAGTTGCAAGTGGTATTTGAAAGCATAGATGTATGAGGACCAAAGGCCATAAAGTGAGGCCGGTGGCCCCCAGCATATGTACTAGCTTCATTTGAGGCTTAATGAATGTCAAGGCGAAGCTTGATCCCTCACACGGGAGCAAAGTCTTGCTATAAGGCTTTTTCTCGTAGTATATAGTCGTTAATTGAGAGGATTTAAAGATAATTGACAGTGTTTGGACATTTGAAAGACCATGAAATACCAAAGAAGAGCCGGAGAAAGCGGTGGAGAGAAAGAACACGAGACGGGGACTTGACGCTCGTTGGGGGCTGTTTCTAAAACCCCCTCAGATTGTGAGATTATTGTGATCAACCATGTTCTCCTCGTGTCTCGCACCCCAACCCTCCGCTCAACATGGTCAATTTCGGGGTGTCCGGAGGATCTGCAAGAAAATGATGCCTACAACAGGACTAGCTTCTGTGATACCTTGCATTAATATCCCGCGCGTGGTTTCTTGAAACCTGCACCCCTGGAAGAAAAGGTCGAAAATGAGGAGATTGACATGGTTGTAAGCAAACCTATGTAGACGAAGTAGGGCCGGGCAGGGCGGAGAGTGGTGGATCCAATGCTTGGCGATCCATCGGGGGCCAGGAGCATACTTTCGGCCCCTGCAGTAGCACGGCGGAGTCAGAGTCATGAACAATCAACATTGACGTTGTCAACAAAACCTGTTTTCGGAGTATTATCATGTTTGGGGTAAGCCAATGGCTGGTTTAGCTTGATCCGCCTCTGGGAAATTGGCAAGAATTCGTCGCGGGACTAGGAGGCTCTGTTCTTCCTCAGAATGCGAACATTCATTTACTCCCAATCCACGACCCAGGGAGCAACATAACGAAATCTTCCTTTCTCATCAATATGCTGCAACCTTTGGTGGGTGCTGCTCTTATTGCTGTCTCTTTATTTGGTCAATATGGTACAGCAATTCAACTATGGACCAGCCCAGACAATTTTCCGACTACCGTGCCAGCCGCCTGTCGAGCTGCTTTGACATACAACATCACCTGTGCTAATTACCTTGTGACTGCACAGGATGCTCGTAACGGAGCGTCTCTTGTGGGTAACTTGACAACCGAGTACTGCACCAAAGATTGCCAAAGCTCTCTTCAAGAATTCCAAAGCAAGACTCGCTCGGCCTGCGGATCAGATGCGTATGAGCTGCATAAGAACGGAACGACAAAACAGTCACCGTTAGCAATTGCTGACGGCCTTCTGTGGGCTTACAAGTTGAGCTGTATCCAAGATACGTATGTGCTGCCTCAACAACTTATCGATTGAAACGCCAGGGTATGACTGATCATTTTCGGGTATAGATCCGGTTACTGTTTGGCAGACTTGTACGGTGGAAACAAGAGTGCTTGTTCAGATTGCACCCTCAAATACGGCTCGGTTATGGTGAGTTCGGACTATGGGCGCCAAAATTTCCCACCGACTGCCTATTCATCCCTACTGTCATCCTGCAGCATCCCTGCGGCCAGCTATCCATATGACTACACCTCTTTTCCCACAGCGACATCTACATCAAGCACTCCTACCGGATCGACCCCTGCAACCCCCACTGCTACTTGTGGGGGAATTTTATACGTTTCCAAGGGTGGAGATACATGCCAGTCAGTTTCTAAGGCTCAATCGATGAGTAGTGATCGCTTCGTCGAACTGAACCACTTGGAGTATAACTGCTCATCACTCACGCCGGGCACCGAACTGTGTATTGAGAAAGCCTGCACATTATATACGGTCCAGAAGAATCAAACCTGCCAGGATATTGTCAAGGGACAATCATTTGGCATAGTTCAGCTCATCGGTTGGAACCCGTAAGTGAAACCCCGTTTCTATACCTGGTACTTGTTGACAAGCTGGAACTGATCTCAAAAATAGAACCATTCATCAAAACTGTGACAATCTTGACTCTATGGTGGGAAAAAGTATCTGCGTTTCGTAAGCCCCCTTATCAATCCATTTCCTAAGAAGATAAGTTTTTAATGCCCAATGAGACCTCCGGGGGGAGGCGACTTTACCATGCCCCAAAACCGTACCTCTACATCAAAAGGACTTTCATCCTCTATGTTCACTTCATGGGTATCCGGAGAAACCACGACGTTAGGAAACATTACGACTTCGTGGTATTCGCCGACAATCGATCCCAACTGGATGCCCACGGTGACCACCTATACGGCAAACACTACCTGGTCCAGCTTGATGGCGGAGAGAACCCAATATTGCTGGTTCACTGGCGACGAGGATTCGGATTATGATGGTGATGTGTTCATTCCAGAGGATGACCTCTCTGAGGAGTGTTATTCGCTTTACGAATCCTATTGCGATATCGGGCCCGAAGACCCCATTCCACAATCTCCCAAGTCTACCATCCCGAAGACCTGTACACCAGTGCCTTCTACCGAGGTGCCGTCCTCAACAATGTCGACGCCAACAAGCACTGGAGTCACAACTCCGACTCCAACTCTTAGTGGCATGGCTCAGGGATGCAGCAAATTCCACAAGGTAGTGAAAGATGAAGGCTGTCAATCCATCGCAGATAACGCTGGTATTTCTGAGACAGACTTTTTGTCCTGGAATGACATCGACGATGACTGCACGAATCTCAAATATGACTACTACGTCTGTATTGGAAAACCTGCCTCGACCTCTGAGACAGCCACCAGCACTGGAATCACCACCCCTAAGCCAACACAAACCGGCATGGCCGATGGGTGTGACAGATTCCACAAGGTCGTCAAAGATGAAGGCTGTCAATCTATCGCCGATGATAGCAAAATTTCCCTGGATGATTTCCTGAGTTGGAATCCGGATGTTGGAGACACCTGCACAAATCTTAAATATGACTTCTACGTCTGTGTTGGCAAACCTACCTCAACGTCTGGATCCGCCACCAGCACTGGAATCACCACCCCTAAGCCAACACAAACTGGCATGGCCGATGGGTGTGACAGATTCCACAAGGTCGTCAAAGATGAAGACTGTCAATCTATCGCCGATGACAGCAAAATTTCCCTGGATGATTTCCTGAGTTGGAATCCGGATGTTGGAGGCACCTGCACAAATCTCAAGTATGACTTCTATGTTTGCGTGCACAGGAGTCCATCCCTGGCTACCTCGACAAACGTAGCTCCAACCCTCACAACCACCACTGGGGGTACCACTCCAACTCCGACGCAGACTGGCATGGTTGCGGGTTGTACTGCCTTCCATAAAGTGGAGCAAGGTGAGTGGTGTCAGCTGATTGCGGACGACAGTAAAATCTCACTGAAGGATTTGCTGGCGTGGAACCCGGATGTTGGCAGTGACTGCACGAATCTCAAGTATGACTTCTATGTCTGCGTGGGCAAGTAGCCACTTATGATTTCTTGTTTATTTTTCTTGATTCTAATGTATTGGTTGCCTGGTCTGTGGCTCATACCATCTGTGTCGGCCTCATTTGATTATTTACTTGAATTGATTTTGACGGTCACATAGACATAGTCATGTCGGAATTTACGCTATATTCACTTCGAATCCTACTCTTATATTATAGACTTTTTAAATTCTGTTTGACGATACGCCTTAATCAGAGTAGTTGACTGAAGCTCCAGCAGTTGTTCGTTATATGTATATAGCAATTCTCTTCGCTTATGGCAAAAGGCGGTTTAGCTACCGGCCATGCGGAGAACACCGGCCAATTAGATTTAAAAACCATAACAAATCATATATTATAAACAAACAAACCCTAGCACTATCTAAATCGGGGAAATATGAAGCCTAAGAAGGCTAGTCTGTAACTCGCCTTAACTACCCCATCGTTTCGCCATCGCCTTTCATCTCTTCGTAACCACACTTATTAGAAGCTAGCTACATTATCCCACTAGGTTGTCAACAGCACATCCACTGAAAGAGCGCTACTGTTTATCCTGGGCCTCCTCAATCTCCTGGCCATTGTCACTGCTGCTGAGGCCGAGCTCGTTCTTCTCAGCTGCGGCATGATCGTTGGTATCCAAGCCCAGCTCGCGAGACTGTTGGAGGATCTGCTCGAAATCGAGCTTGGGCATGTCGTTGGCGACCCTCCACGCCATCTTCCCTTCGACATGGGCTTTGGCGTAGATTATGTCGACCTCCTCAAGCTCACGGCCGGCTGTCTCAACATAGAAGAAGAAGCCGAATATCAAACCGACAAAGTTAAACAGTGCGAAGAAGAGATAAACGCCCCATGGGCTCTGGCCAGCGAACAGCGGCGTGAACATGACCACGGCAAAGTTGCACATCCAGTTGGTGCAGGTCGACGCCGCTGCGCCCACAGTACGGGTACGGAGGGGGTTGATCTCCGGTGGGTAGATCTAGGGCAGTGGTAAGAGAGTGAATGCAAAGAAAGTGATAAAGAGGAAGATACCAACGGCAGCACCCTTGGAGTTCTCCTCGGTCTCCTTGATCAAGCAAGCGAATGTAATAACAAAGCTAAGCCCCTGGCCAAGGAAACCAATCAAGTATAGGTTACGACGGCCCTTGTATGACGCTTCGCGCATGCGGCGTTGTGATTCTCTGTCGCATCCGGGGCCATCAGCCAACCACGAATCGACGAGGAGAACTGAGTTGCATTTATCCTTCTAAGGAGTGAATTAAGCCCTTGTATCCCATCCTCAATATAGGTGTTGCTTCTGAGTTGCAACACTTCTAGCGCAAAAGATAAATGTTCACGTATCTCGCCAATGTCTTCTTCGAGCTTCTGTAAAGTGCTTTTTCTGAATGGATAGGCTACGCGACGCCGGGCGAGTTAAACCTAGCCCTAAAAACCTATAGTTTAGCCTTTCTAGAATTTAAGGTATTTACCCTAAAGCTCCTCGATAATTTAATTATAGTTTTGAACTGCTATGTTGACCGTTTAGTGTAGCTCTTATTCGCTAGTTCGAGATCGGCGCTCTTGTATTGCGATATATAGAGATCGGAAGATACTTAGAAGATCTTTAAGATTCCGCACGATATTGACTATATTAGTAGCTTAGTCCTTGACCGAAGAGTAAAATTTAGTCAAAGATTGGGTAACTTAGATTCTAAGAGAGAGCAATCCTATAACTCTAGCGGCAACTGATAGTGGATTGGCTATAGTAATAAGTCTATAGCACGTTAGGCTAAGGGATGATAATCTAGATAATTTAATGATTAGATCCTATAATTGTTACGATGTTAGAAGGCAACTTTTTATGTCATTCGATATATGTAAACTACCTAAGTATCTAGAGTAACCATAAGGGGGCCTTTAAGGGAGGGCTTAAATATAGTGGTAAAAGTAGGTAGTGTATATAAGCCTTGTTTTCTATAAGTATTAAAGATATTATCGATCATAGTTTGTGTGGTCTGGTTAGTTCTAAGATAGCATTAAGGTTGCCCCTAGTACGGTGGGGTATAGGAATAATAAAAGCTCAATGATTACTAATAGATTAGAATATATTTTTAAGAAGAGGAGGCTACGGAATACGCATACTTTCTTATGCTAGTTGTATCCACCGCCTTTAGCTAGCTAAAGTCGTTAGGCGCGAAGTGATCGAATATCGGTTTCTGGTAATTTCAGAGGCTATTTAGAGTATAGGCGCTTACGGATAATTAGACTTCGTAATTGCGAACTAATACCGAGTAGTTATAGCGTCTAGCTTTAGGTTACCAAACTCGTATAATTCGACGTTAAAAGCTAGCCCTACACTATCCCTATCGGGTCAGGCACCGTCAAAGCCGCTATACCTTAGTAATTAACTACCATTAGTAATAGACGAAATCTTATAGCCATAAATACTAATAAGGCTATGCTCTTCTTCTAACCGTATCATAAGGTCTCTAGATATCTAACGAGGTCTATCCTAAGTTAGCTTAACTACCTATAACACTAGTTTATTACTGCCTCGCCGCGTGTAGCACGATACGACCTTAGAGTATATACAAGCTTAGGGGTATCCTATCGCCTTTTTAGGGCGAACTACACTATATATATTAACAATGCAAGGTAGATAAGGTAGACCATAAGCTTCAAGAGACCTAGTTATATAATGCTTCTAGTTATAGTTATGTATAGATACTAAGATATCGAGTGTTTTAGGTGGAGGGGTATAATCCAATAAAATTGTGTTATTTTTCAGCTAAGGGGGTTAGTGTAGTGGTCGCGCGACTTAGGTGATTCTCACCCTAATTCTCACCCTATCTATAGCGTACTCACCCTTCTCACCCGTGGTCGCGCGACCATAAAGCGGCTCTCACTCTAAACTCACCCTAGCGGCACCTACCTAACTACTAGCCGTATATAAGCCCTACTCTAGAAGGTTAGTAGTTAAATTACTCGTTAGCTCGGCTCACTTTCTCCTAACTCCTTGCTAGTATACTCGGGACCTCTCCTAAGGCCATTCCTCTAGAACGAGAGGGGAAAAAGAAGTATCGCCCGTCCACTTATTAGGCCCTTTTCTTCTAAGGCTATCCTATCCTACTATTTAGTGTATCCTAGCCTAGAATTAGCGGTAATAAAGCCGAAACTTATAGCTTTAGGCATAAAGACGGGCCTATAGTGGTTATCCACCTAGATCTTCCGCGAGAGCTTAACGACTATATCACAAATTCGCTACTATATATAATTGGAAAGTAGGAAGGATATCGGGCATAGATAGGACCGCTAGATAACTATTAGCTTAGTGACGGCGGAAGAAGATACTATATAATAACGGCGGATACTTTCGATTATAATAGTGTCTATTGACATATATATTTATCATTTCTTTCTACCCCTCCAACTTTACGGGCGGCTTCTTTTAGCCCTTTAGTGCCTTAGTTTAGTAGAATAATAAACCTATAGTATAGATAACTAGCGGCTAGGAAAATGGTCCGCGATTTCCTTCTATGTTAACCTCCCTTCCTCTTTTAACTTTACTAGTAAGTTATCCTCGTTAGTTAAATAGCGCTAGAATTTACTTTTCCCGCGAGTTAAACGGTTTATACTTAGTGACCGCTTTAAAACCCTATCTACTTTCTTAGAGTTATAGGGAGGACTATACGCGGCAATAGATAATATCGAGTAGACGTTATCGGGCATAAGAGTGAAGAAGAAAGTGGGCTCCGATCCCTAGATCTTAATAGTGAGAATTGCCCGCCTAACAATATCGCGGCTCTTATAGTAATACCTAGACGATAAACTAAAGGACATATAATTTAGATAGTAGGAAGCGGTCGTACTTAGAGAACCGTTTTTCTCCTCTACGGAGTCCTTAACGTATAGGGGTTCTAATTAGATTGTATCGGTTATAAAGTCTTTATCTAAGGAATTATCGACGTCCTCACTTTCGCTCTTAGATATATCTAATACAATAGGTTTTAGCCTTAACCATAGACTCTATATAGCTCTTAGCCGTGGCGGAGGAATAACCACTACGATAGACGGGTAGCGCTTATTATAAGTAGTTTCTCGTTTTCTAGTCGAAGGCATTAGACGTTCTTAGTTTTTGTATTTTCTCGGATTAGCTAGATTTAGGCTCTTATCTCCTTAAACACTAGGTGTTCTCGAACGAGAATTAAAAGACTCGCGCCCGTATACTTATTCTAGATCTATCAAATCGGGTATATTAACGTATAGCGGATCGGACGGCCTAGAAGGGCCTAACTTAGCCACGGTTCTAAGGGGATAATCTAAAATCAATCTAGTTTAGCTTATTTCTATATAGTTATCTAAGTGGTCGTCGGGATAATCCTCCTATAAAGGAACATAAGAGCCTATATCGTTTCGATTGTTAGAGATAATATCCGAGTAGGATAAGATAGAAGAGAGCGGAGTGTTAGAAGAGTAGTCGCTAAATATAGTAGATATATCGGATATATCCGAAGCATAAACTAGATTAGAGGATTTAAAGTACGCGGCGTATAAAAGTTGATCTCGTGTCTACTAAATATCTTCTGTTACGACCGATTGTATAACTCCGGAATACGTTTCTGTAGCACCTAGTGAAAGAACCGAGATAGAAGGGGACTAAGGAGGCTAAAGAGGAGTTATATAACTAGATTGGGGTCTCGGGAAGACGTCGGAACCGTCTAACTCGGCTCTTTTGCTTAGATTTACACGGAACGAGGACGGGGCTATGTTCAATATCGATTAATAACTTAGAAAGTAGGCTAGCTTAGATCTTAAACTTATAATCAGTAGGCACCTTTTCGTCTGAGTTATCTCGGTAGTCATAGTTAAGCCTCTATAGCGAGGAGGAGGTATCTCTGTCGCTAGCTTTAAGTGTACCTAACAATAGCGTTAATGCCCCCTAGGACCTCGCTAGTTTGAGGTCAAATAAGTTAGGCGACCTAGCTGCATACTAATTCGTTATATTTTCTACATTACTAGCCGGAGGGAGGAAGTAAGGCGGGACTATTACTAAGTAGTCCTCTATTGCCGAAGAGACCGCTTTATTAGAGAATAAAGGTTACTCGCCCGATAGTAAGGTATTAGAGCCTTTCTAGTTACTATTAAAGGCAAAATAGGGCGGTTTTATAGGCTTCGATAGGCTATAGTAAAAGTGTATATTATTAAGGATAATAGGTATAGTCTTAGATCCTAAGGGAAAGACGTAGAGATAAACAAAGCGAAAAGAGGAAATTTGGTCTAATAAGACTACTAGACTGACCTAGGATATAGTGGAAAGGGCTAGTTTTTATATTAGATCAAATAAGCCCGGAAAAAAAGAGAAGCCCTCTAGGGACGCTACCTAAATAGGAATCTAGATATAGGTTAGTGGATAGCATCGGCTACCCCTAGGCCGCTCGGTACGTGTTACTTATTCCTTCTTATAGTAGCAGAGGGGCTTCCGGGGCTAGCTTCCAATCATTGCTAGAAAGTGTGCGTCTCTTATATATATAATACGCAACGAGGTAGGCTTTTGCCTTAGCCTATATATCCACTACCTTAACTAGTCCGTAAAGACGCCACTTAACTACTTAGTGCCTATATAGCCCTTACTAAGCCACGTAACCCTCTAGAAGTCTAGTAGGGTAGAAGAGGCTTCCTCGCTTAGCTCCGCCTTAGATATAATATCGGAAGACTATGCTCTAAGGTTCGGCGCGTAATAGAATTGCCTACCGCCCTTCACAATTAGCTAATAGGCTCTTACCGTCAAGGATAAAGGATGCACTACCCACGCTAGACCTATCTAGATATAGGAATCACATCGGGATAACCGGAAGAGGAAAGAGATATACATAAAGCTGCCGCTTTGACTAAGGCGCCGCTATGTGCCTTAACCCCCTATCACGTTAGCTGACTTCCGGCCATTCCTTATCTAACACCTACGTGGGGTATATAGGACTCGTATCTAGGTCTAATAGCAAAAACAGCGTATGCTTCAAGGCAACCTAGAGATAACGAAGTGGCTTGAGGTTCACGAAAACTGTGCGGGTCTATAGTTAATAGGCTAAGAAGTGATACTTATTCGGACGTTAGGGCGTACGGAGTGCCACGTTATCTAAATCACTCTATTCTATATCTCGGGGCGCTTCTTAACTATAGAAAGCATCTATTCTCGAGGAGACTAGATACTAGGATAAGTTCAAGAGGGAATCGTTCGGCGATAGAGGTATTAGAGAGACAAAAGCTCACTCAAACGTGTAGAATAGAATGCGAACGCGTAGACACTGATCTCGACAAAGACACCTAGTAGGGGAACGCACGGCATTATAGAGGAGTTCTATTAGATAGTGCGAGTGGAGGCCGGATACAATATTGCTAGAAAATTCCTTAGATAGGCCAGGTCTCGCAATCAGCCCGGGATCGTCGATCTAATCGGACGCATATAGAAAGTGTTAGAAGGGGGGAGGAAAGGACAAAAGAGGAAGAGGATAGATGGCGACGATGGAGCGACGTACCTAGGATTTATACATTCGGGCGGCCGAGTCGCGAGGCGGTGAAGTGATAAGCGTGCCTGTTGCGGATTAGCGTGACGGCTAAACCGTGTTAGGCCTGCGCTAAACCGTGGCGGGGGGCAGTGGGGGCGGGCGCTAAACCGGGGTTGGGGAGCTGCCGTTTCTGGCGTCGGCGGCCCAAATGGAATAATTACTAGTATAAATATAGCCTATTACTTACTATAGTAAGGGGAGGGATACGGTTTCTAATCAATTTTTATATATTAGTCCTAGGAAACCACTATAACTAATAGTATTAAAACTCACTATTAACTACCTCGCTAGTACCGCGCTAAAGGTCGTAAGGCTTTATTACCCTAATTATCCTAACGGCCAAGCTTAGCCGCTATAAATAATAGAGATATATATAGTACTTAAGTGGTTTAATAGGGTAAGTAGTTATTCTAGAATAATATAAGTCTAGCTAGCGGTAAATTGATATATTAAGTTTATCTTTCTTAAAATCTAGTCTAAGGGAACGACGTGGTAGGGAGACATAAGCCCTAAATATATCTTTAGCGGAACGTATATTTACCGAAAATACGTCGTTAAGAATTGCTATTATAAGTATAAGGACAATAACGTCGAAGATAGGTTATTTAACTTTAGATATAAGGAAGATTTTCCTTTTAAAAGTATTAGCTTAGCGCAAAATAGAGTCTTATAATCACTAACCTCTTTAATCTAGTATAATAACCCTTAGTATACTTTAAATTAATTTCTATTATAAGATAGTCACGGAGACCTCTAGGGTTTAGGAGTAGTATTAAACTAATCTAACCGTAGTATAGTATTTTTAGGTTATCTTCTCTAAGATCCTAATCTTTATTAGCTTCCTTACCTTTATCTACACCACCGAAGAAATACTATATATTAGTCCGCTCGTTTTATTTAATATAAACTAGCGCTTCTAGTCGACTAGCGGTGTAGGCTGACACTAAAAGGAGGAAAGCGAGTTAAATTAGTTAACGACTATTGGGATAGGGAGTTATATCTCTTATCTAATAGTGGTGGAGAACGATATATAAATTATCGACGTTTATCACGGGTTTCTCCCTAATAGATATATCGAGATTGTAACGTACGACTAGATCCTCTTTTATATACTATTTCTTTTTAGTTAGAAGGCAAACGAGTGAAAAGATAAAATCATACTTACGTTATTAATATCTTAATAACTCTTCGCATAAAGACTTCGCCCCACAGATTTACGGTAGAGCTAGCACTATTGCCTCTAGTTCTTATATAAACCACTAAACTTCTTAATCTTAGAGTTATCAAGTATCCACTCGAGAAAAACCATAACGTCTCCCTTCTATGCTATAACAAGAAATCGGAGAGGATCTTCCCCTAGATATTCACAGTGCTGTAAGGAAAGGGTTCTAGTGTTTGCAGGATAGAGCCTGTCAACTAGGTAAGACGAAGATGCCAGGGAAGCAAGTAGTATATTGGAGGAATACAGAGACTGATTCTTGGAGAACCTCTGGGTTCTCCTAGAGTGCACTATTTAATATGGGAGATTAGCGTTGCGGTGAGGAAGCGCTGACGTGTCGACACCTGTATGATGTTGATCCTCTAATAGTGCGAGAGATCTGTGTATGATTCCTAAGGACTCCGTTACAATTATCCCCCTGTCTAGTACGGGTATCCGCACCCGTGGTGAAGTCTGTAGAGCGTAGCCTATTAAAAACCTAGTGGGAAAAGGTAGCTAGTTCTTGTAGGAGAAATAGTAATTGCGGGAAGATAGGAAGGCGATAGGGAAACGATAGTGTAAGGATAGACGGTTATAGGTAGGAAGATTGGGGCCTAAGGTAGGAATTTGATAGGGCTAGAAAACCTCATGATTTCCTAGTTAGGGTGTAGGGGTTTGTTTGTATAGGTGGTGTGCTTTGTTGTGGTAAACAAAGCTTCTTTAACATAGTGAAACTGCGTGAAATAAAGCGTGTTTATTGCTATTTTTGTTTGCTTAGGTTGTAGGGCTTTGTTATGATTTCACTCCTATAGGCATAAATCCCCTATTGTTTACCTTCTAAATTTTTCCTTTCCTCACTATTTTCCATAATAGCGACACGTCCTTACGTCGCTGTCGTTCCCCTAGGGTTTCTCTAGGTTCTTACTATCATATCTTTAGGTAGGTGTGGTGGTCGTCATCCTATCCACAAGTCTAACGACACGTTACTAACTCGCTATAGTCTCGTCGTCGTTATAGTAGTGATCTAACTTCCACACGCTGATCGTTATGGCGCCCCGCGTTAGAGGTCGTGCTCGTGGTAAGGCCCCGCTAGTACTAGCTCCTCCTTCTCGTTCGCCCTCTCTATCTAATATTGAGAGTGCGATCTCTATTTCGGACGACGATGATAATAATAATGATAAGGAGGACGAAACCTCTAGTGTACCTCAATTCTCGCTAGTAGAACGCTCGGTGATTACTAGCTCTAAGACGCCTACTCTTAGCACTCCTAGCACTCCCACTCCTAGTAGGCCCACTTCTCTCGCTAGTCTCCGTTATGCCCTTACCGGTAGGGTTAGGAAGAAGAACCGCCCCCTTCGCCCTATCGCCTATCTCTAATATATGGTATAGTGTATACACTATTTCCGGACTTTCTTAGAGAACTAGGACACTAGTGGACCACTAGTGATCCCCTACTAGGACGACGGCTTATCGTTAAAGAGATACCGTTAGTGCGCTAGCCGTAATAAGAATTGCGAGCCTATAAGTATTTCCAATAAGTATAGTGTTATAATAGCGGCTAACTAGCGTTTCCCTATAGGTAAATAAAGGTATCCTCGGTGACGCGATACGTCTCTAGTGTATTCTTAATTAGGCTAAGCCCTTTTAGGACAATAAGGGTGATAACGAGATTTTCGATTTAGACACTACTATTTTCGGTGATCTAATCTAGGCTATTTAGGCCTTACTCGCCGGTTTTAACGTTCTCTTAGATAGTCACTGTAAGTAGTTTAGTATTACTTTAGACAAGAAGCTAGCGAAGGTATAGTGTTCTATTATCGTTTCTTTGGCGTTTCACTAACTATTTGATAGGATATCGCTAAGTCTTATAAAGCGGTTATTTATAACCGTTATGGATTGCTCTAGCTAATCCCTATCACTATCGGTATATCGTCGCTTCGCCGTCTCGTCGCTAAAGCTTCGACTTATCCCGGTGCCCGTCTCTTAGATAATAGATACTATACTTAGGCTTTTGCTATACGGACCTTCCGTTCCGCTATTATTAAGATTATAGTTAGCTAGGAGAAATACGATAAATTCTCTAACCCCTAGTTTGACTAGCTTAAGGCGGATATAGTTAAGGATTTCCCCGTTAAGGACTATCTTGTGTAGTTATTAGGTTACTAGTGTTTCGTTAGCTTATAGGAGGTTCTTTTGATATTTCAAGGATAATTTTATGCTTTCTTAGTTTTCTATAGAGATAGCGGGTAGCTAGAGTAAGCTAGTTATCTCGCTATATTTTCGCTAGTGTTTTATAGTTAGATCGATATTTTCTAGGGTGATCTTAATTAATTCGACCTTTTCTTTTACTTCTAGAACTTTATAATAATACCTCTAGCATTTCGTATATCTAAGAGTGGCACCTATTAGTTATACTTAGAGGGCTATCCTTTCTATTTAACTAAGTAGTATAGTTCGTCCTAGAACTTCTTTTCACCCTAGACCTCCTTAACCTCCCACTTATTATCGTCTTCTAGCTCTAGTATAGGTAGGGTTTCACTATCGTTTCGCTAATACTATTCTTAGAGTAAAGAGATAGAGAAGATATTATATAGACGAGAGTATTGCTTAGGCAATACTAGCTAGTACGCCTACTTTCTAACTTTGTTAAGGATCCAGAAAGGCCTAATAAAGTTTAGGGTAAGTTTTCTTAATAGGTTCTTTATTTAGAGATTGCGGGTTAATAGTGTAACTAATTATCCCCTTCGGAACTATATAGGTTCGTGGCGTTTATTATAGTGTTTCGCCTATAATTCGCTTACTTTTCGCTATACTTCTTAAAGCCTTTCTCGTAGCTTTTGTAACTTTTCTAGTCGTGCTATAGTTACTAGGACTTCCTCTCTAGAAGCGCCGTCCTTAGCGCGTAATTAGAAGTTTAGGTTATAACCGTAAAGTGCTTTAAAAGGTGTAAACCCTATAGTTAAGTTTATAGTATTATTAGTGGTAAATTAGGCTATAGGGAGGAGGACTAGCTAATTAGTTTATTCCGTATTAACGAAGTATCGAAGGTAGCTCTTAAGTACTTAGTTTATCCTTTCCGTTTAGCTATCGGTCTACGGGTAAAACGCTATCGAAAATCTTAATTTAATATAGCTTTGGTAGTAGAGTTTAGACTAGAATTTACTAGTAAAGACTAATCCTTAGTCTAAAACTATACTACTTAGCGGGCTAAATTGGAGTTCGATTTCTTAATAAAATAATTTAGCTAGTTATATAGTATTAATTGTAGATAAAACGGGTAGGAAGACGGCGTATTTTGAGAATCTATCCACGATAACTAAGATCGCGTCGACGGTATTATTCTTATAAATTGTCTATGGTAAGTAGGTAATAAAGTCTATTACTAGATCGCTAAAGGGTCGCTAGGGAATCGGTAGCGACTATAGTTCGCTATAAGGTCAATACCTTAGTGTGGCTACCCCTTAGTATACTACGCATTCTTTAACGTATTAGGCCACGTCCTTTTATAAGTTAACCTAATAGAATTTGCGTTTTAGTAACTCGGTGGTGCGAGTTCGACCGAAATGTCCTACGAGTGGATTATTATAGTAGATATTTAGTAGTTTCTAACGTAGGCTATTTCTTATAGGGATATATAACCTATTTTGGTATCTAAGGAGGCCTTTATAGTCGACTAGCTATCTATAGTTCCCGCGCTTTTCTAGCTTAACGTCGGTGATACGACGGCGGGTCTCTAGATCTTCGCCCTATTCCTACCCGATCTAGGACTTTAAATTAGCCGTGGAGTTTAATTCCTAAACTAACTAACCTATAGTCCCACGCTTAGCTTATAAGACTCTAATATTTTCACGTCTTACCTCTAAGACTCCGACGATTTGACGCCTTGCCTTAGGGTCTTCACCCTATATTCGCCTAATTAGGGTCTTTAATTCTATCGTGGCGTCTAACCTATAGACTTATTTAACTATATAGGCGCGCTTAACCTCCCGCTAGGTGATCGCACGATCTCCTTTAGCGGTGCGAACTATTATAGCGTCTTCTTCTAAGACTAGGGGCAAAACTATATAGCGGTGACTAACGACTTTTTTATAGGACGTACGACGGTAGTACGCTAGGTAGCGTAGAGGTACTCGATAGTATAGAGAAGCTCGACGGCGTTTCTCTCCCTTAATAGACGCTCGGCGGCGTATTAGCACTTAATAGTATAGAGATACTCGATAGCTATCTCTCTTCTTACTAAGCTCTAGCGTCCTAGGCTCGCTAAGCTTAGTCGTAGGTATATCCTAGCTAGCCTCGGTTATAGGTATATCCTAACCGGTATTTATTTCTTTAATAGCAATTTGCTATATATTTACCCCCTAATCGCTAGCGAAACGCTCTTAGATCGGGGTCGTAAGTTTAGCTACGGGCGTAACCCGACTAGTATTTAGTTTCCTTAATAAGCTATCCGCGGGATTAGTCTTCCTAGCGCGATACTTTATAGTAAACTCGAACGGAGTTAAAAATATAAGCTACCTTGCTTATCTACCGTTAAGCTTAAGATACTTTATAAATATCTAGAGATTAGTATAGTCTAAAAGCACCTCGACGGGATACTTACTACCCTCTAGATAGTGCCTCTATTATTTAAACGAGTAAACGATAGCGAAAAGCTCTTAATCTAACGTTATATAACGGAGCTCCGCGCTAATAAATTTCTTTAACTAGTACGCTACGGGGTGCTATATCCCGCTAGCGTCTAGCTACGAGAGGATTCTAGCTATCCTAAGGTTTAATATATTAGATTCGATATAGATCCGTTTTTGTGGATCAAAATACTAGAGCACTAGGGCTTCTTAGAATATATTAAGAAGCCGGTAAAACGCTTACGTTTCTTTATCGGAGAGTAAGATATTACTAGGCTTCTTACTATTCTTACTTCCTTAAAGTAGGGAGGTTAGAGGTAATATAATTAGGCTATACCCTTAGATAAATCGTCGATAAAAGTTATAGAATCCTAGGAATACTTAGATTTTATAGTAGCTTTTTAGGATTTCCTATAAAGCGATAGCGTCGACGCACTATCTATCTATTAATATGCTATTCCTAGACACCACGAATCCTAGGAATTTAACCTAGCCTTAGTAGAAGGTGTATTTTACGGGTTTCGCGTATAGCTATGCCTATTATAACCTCTATAGCACTTAACAAATATACTCTATATAGGCCTCGCGGTCTAGCGAGAAGATTAGGATATTATCGAGATACGCTATACAAATAATATTAAGAAGCCCTCTTAACGCTATATAAATATAATTCTAAAAAGTGGCTAGTGTATTCGTAAGACTAAATAGTATAACTATATACTCAAAATAGCTATAGCGAGTGCGAAAGGCTATCTTCCACTCTTCTCCTTTATAGATCCTAATCCGATAGTACGTATCTTATATATTAATTTTGCTAAAGAACTACGCTCTAGCGAGTCGATCGAGGATCTCCGAGATAAGAGGAAGGGGATACCGGTTTTTAACTAAGACCTTATTTAGTCCCCGATAGTCTATATAGAGACGTAGACTACTATCCTTCTTTAGAATAAATAGGATAGAGGCCCCTACTAGGCTTTTTAAGGGTTAGATCCGACTATTGTTAAGGTTTTTATCTAGGTAGGACCGAAGCTCTTAAAGCTCTATCTAAGAAAGAGGGTAAATTAGGCTATATAGCGGCGTTTTACTATCTTTTAGCTTAATAGTATAGTCTATTACTTTCTAAGGTGGTAGGGTCTTAGCATTTTCGGGAGCGAATATATCGCGGTACGCTAGTAATTCGCTAGGGAGACCCTCCTCACGTGAGGCGGGGTATTCTTAGTTATCTCCTAGAAGCCACACTTTCTTAGGAAGCTTTACTACCGTATATACGTACGCGTGGTTCCGGCATTCCTTTATAAATTGATATAGGGTGGCTATTAAGTATAATAGTACGATATACTACTACTAGCGTTTATATAGCGAAAAGTCGACGTATTTATCTCGCACTATTATCATAGATAGGAGAACCGGGCTTCCTTTAAGGTGAGGGTCTCGATTAATAGCTAGACAACGCCTTTTAAAGGTGCGAGTAGTCCCCCGCGAGTCGGTCGCTATGATAGGGACTATCTATACCCTATAAATAGGTGTTAACCTTCGATTAATAGCTAAGATAATAACGCTGGTGAGTGGTGCGCGATAGAGTCTATATTGCTAAGCAAATTGATAACTAATAATGTTAACCTCGGCTCCGCTATCGAGGTCCGTATACGTTTTGATATCGCCCTAGACGGTAATTAGGATATATAGACGGCTTATAGTCCTAATCTTATCTTAAGGGGTCGGTATTCCGGCTTCTATACTAACCCTCTAGCTTTTCCTAAGTATACTAGTATTAATTAGATCTTAGTCGAATTTTAGGGGCACTCGTCCCTCTAGTGGTCTATTAACCCGTAGGTAAAATAGCTATATAGTTTAGGTAGAGTTATATTATCGTTTCGCTAGCGATTATACGGCTTTACGCCGAATTCACGCTAGTTTAAATATAGTTTAGTATTTAGGTTTCAATTACTACCTTATCCTTAGAAGCTTCTATGGTTCTATCCTTAGCCCCGACTAGAGTTAGAGGGTGGCCCGTTAAAGCTAGTCCGTTTTCGATATCTCTATTAGTTAGGGGAGTGATATCTTTTATTTGTTAAGCGGGGCGGGTAGTTCTTTATTCCCGACTCTATTTAAATAAGGTTCTAATAGTGTATCGCTATCGATACTATCTCGTCCCGATTTTTAGGTAAATAAAGTATAGTATTCTAGATACGCGATCGGAGGCGGAGCTATAATTTAGTAAAGAAGTTAAGCGCCCGTTAGTCCTCTAATAGTGCTTCGAAATACCTTTTAAGCGAGACAAGATAAGAGTTAAAGTCACTTAGACTTTGGTTTAGGCCTTAACGGGCCTCTTATAAGGAGGTAGCAATATCGGCTTATAGTGTAGCCGAATTATATAGTAGCGTAAGTGTCTATTTCTTAAATAGTTCCTATATCGTTTTATAAGCGGTTCGCTAGGGTTCCGCCTTCTCTTTGATATAGTGTCGCTATCTTTCGCGATAGTTAGAACTTATGTAGTTAGTGGCACTAAGGATCTTTCTTTCGTCTAATCTATATTTACGGGGTGCGCCTACGAATATATCTTAGAGGTTATTAAGCTAGGTTTAGCGTTATTATATACTATAGTGTGCTTTAAAAATTGTAACTTCAATTTTGATTTCTCCGGAAGCTTATCCTCGATTAGATAATGTAGAGGAAGAGCGTCGATAGCGATCTAATAACGATTTCTCGGTTATTTAGCCGATTGCTTTCTCGAGTTCCTTCTTTTAGGTAAGCAACGTATAAAGGGTTTTAAGGCGTTCAACCTTAGCGAGGTGCTCGCTAAGTTAGGAAGTCCGGTCCTAAGAATTGTTCTCCGGGCTGCTACTTCCGTCGTAGATAGTGGCGGGAGGAACAATAGACTTAGTGTCGGTTCGGTATAGGTTCGCTAGCGATCCCCAAGCGACCGACGATCGGGTAGTCATTATTACTTTAGGAGGTATCTTCAATCTTAGGTAGTTAAAGAAGAAGAATCAGAATTGTAAGGAAAGGGTTCTAGTGTTTGTAGGATAGAGCCTGTCAACTAGGTAAGACGAAGATGCTAGGGAAGCAAGTAGTATATTAGAGGAATATAGAGACTGATTCTTAGAGAACCTCTGGGTTCTCCTAGAGTGCACTATTTAATATAGGAGATCAGCGTTGCGGTGAGGAAGCGCTAACGTGTCGACACCTATATGATGTTGATCCTCTGACAGTGCGAGAGATCTGTGCATGATTCCTGAGGACTCTATGCATGATTCCTGAGGACTCCGTTACAAGTGCCTACTTAAATTAGTCTTATATTAGGACAAAAGATTAGATACGTTATTACCTAATCTATTATCTTTTAATTTTACTAATATTATTCTTAGTTAAAGTAGTATATCGTTTTTAGATAATACCTTTCTTAAGCTATTAACAACGTCGTCGGTAATACTCGGGACTATAAGCCTACTTCTTTCCACGCATAGTTATATTAAGAATAGATATAGCGTTAATTAGAGTAGGAACGAGGTAGTGAGAAAACGAAAATAATTTAAAAAAGAGAAGAGGAAGAAAGCCGTAATAACTAAGATCTAGAAGAGTTAGAAATTCATAAAGTACTTACAAGCCTTAGACAAAGTGCTCTAAGCAAGTCTATAGTTAACGGGGGGTAGAGACTCTTTTAATATTAGAATAGAAGGCTTAGGGGTGTTCAGCACCTAGCAAAAGGACCTTTCTATTTTTGCAAGTAGCGGCTACAATCGGTCAACATAGAGGGGACAATATTATGACGTCCCTGATTGCCCACCCTAAGTACCCTAAGTGAAGGGTGAGCTGATCCCTAAGCAACCATAAGTGCTCAGGGAGCGCTCTCTAAGCACTTGGTGAAAACACAGTAAGAGTGAGCAGAAACGAATCACGTGATGTTTAAATGACTAAGATCCTGGTAAATAAGACGCTTAAAATGGCGTCAAACCTAGCCGTTTTCGGCGCCCAATTTACCGTCACCTAGCGTTGTGGTGTAATCAACACAGGACACATTGTATTTAGAATGCTCAATATGTTGGAAAATGTTAAAATTTCGCCGGGACCACAGATTTCACAGATTTTGTTGCTTTCATCTGTGTATAGAGCAGGTGGATACGTACAACCAGAGGATCAAAACTTCATTATCCCTGCCAATAATTGCTTACTCATCCAACAGTCAGGCGGGGTAGTCGCCAGTGCATCAGCAGCAAACAAACAAAAGTGTCGATACTACTTCGGTATCATAATGTATCCCGTCGGGCCGGTTCGACATGTCCCAAACGCAAACGTGGATTTGATCCGCAATATGATTCCCGGCATGCGCTCTTGGCTGCTTGGGAATACTTTAGGCGACCCTGCTCATGGAGTCATTGAGCTAAAAGTGAACCACATGGATCAGTCCACCGCGGAACTCCGGAGACTTGTTCATCAAGGAGTAAGTATAACATTCCCACTGTGCAATCAACCGAGCTAAGGAGATGGCTAAAGTGCGCCGACTATGCTATCATTCGAACTACGAAGGAGACGAAAACGCCATATAACTATGCTGGAGCTACCTACACGGCTCTTCTCACAGAAAACACACAGAGTAAACGGATGATCGGCCAGCTTAGATTGGAGATCGGACAGACTGTGTGGGTCGAAGCGCCGGCTGTCGTCAGTGCCGGTTTCGTGTTACTTATTATAAAGCCCGCCACATCCCTTTCTCTAGACCATGGAGTAACTTTTGAACGAATGGCAAGGCTTGAGGCCGAAAATGCGCGCCTACAACGGCAAATGGCTCTCTCTAGGGAGATCATGGAAAAATCAAAGATTAACTATGTTTGCCCATCCCGCGAGTGCTATGAAGGCTTCAACGACATGAAGGCATTGAAAAACCATTGGAAGAAGTGCCAGATAAAGCACGGCTACGAAGATCCTCACGTTAGGTTTCTCGAACGGTCCAAAGATCACCCCGCATTTTTCGCTGCCTATCAGAGTGGCCTAGAATCTGACCTTCCTGTAACGCGTGTTCCTCCTGATCACACTTGCTTTCGTCGCGACTTCATCATTTCAGAAAGTAAAAGGGATCCGCCATTTCCTAGAAGCCTATCTACTAGTAAGGGTGAGTACTTGATTTTCTTCTTTGTTAATCGGATTGAGCTGCGCTACTTAGTTCCAGAAAGATATAAATATAATTGTCTCTCGGGATACCTTCTGGGATTGCCTATAGTCTACGCAAGGCCTCTTTACAGAACTGATTAGTCTCGCTAGTCCTACCAGATGTGCAAGGCCGTCATGCATAACACGAACCTCGCGAATGCTAGTTCTACACCACTACGTGCCACCAAGGGGATGTTCTTGATGGGATAGGTTGATTAGGTATTATACCTTAGTCAGTCTTATGGTTTGATGTGCAACAAGCTTGTTAGAAAACCCGACGTAGGGTCGAGAGAGCAGACTAAGTCACATAATGTGATCTGAACATTGTATTTCAAGGTTGAAAACCATCTATAACTGTCATTGTTTTTTTACAATTTATCCAACTATAGATTAGATCTTTACCAGAGACCGGTTCATTCAATATAGCTGAGTATATATTCAGTACTTTTCGGTGTGGTAATATGCCTAAAATTGTAAATCTAGAGACTGTGTATTACCTTCTTTTCAGTAGGTACGGATGAAAGGTAACTTAGGATTTCTTGGACTTGGAATTGAAATGGGTAAGAGAAGTTCGGCATAGATACTTGGTAATATGAAAGATAACAGACATCTCCCTCTTCCCTCCCCTCCCCAGATGGATACCCTGCTCCTCCTGCGGGCTTACCCATGAAATGGCTCCACTTTTGAGAAAAATTCAATCAAATCTGAACTAGGTAGCGTAGCTCAGAAGTAAGATCAACGAGGTATCTAAGGACGATAGAACGAGTGACAGAATTGTACCAGAAAACCGAATTGGAAATGAGCCAATTAACATGGTCGACGGCAGGATTGTCGGTCGAATGGCAACTGATGATGCAAGCTCATGAGGACTAAAAACGGCGTATGGTGAATGTCGAACCAGCAAATATCCCATAGTGGCGTCTGTAGTCAGCCAAGAAATGCCCCAAGGAGGACCCATCTCGCCCCAAGCTGGCCATGTTAGAGCCCTGATCCTGGACAAAATAGATCCGTCAGCGTATGCCCTTCCAACGCACAGCCGGTGAAACATCTTGTCGGCGTACAGGCTTACCTCGTGGATGTCTTCGAATTGCGCAGCCACATCGTCGTCCAAGTGTGACCGCAGCCATGAGGCTACAGCGCGTGGCTAAAACTCCCATTTCTCGTACTCGGGGGCGGTTTGCAAGGGTCAAGGAAGGTCGATATTCGCCACGTCTTCGAGTCCACGAATTCGGAGGGCAACATGGGCCACTAAATTCCAAGACGATGGGTCCGTGGTCATGGTAAGTGTCTTTAATGTTGGGAGATGGAGTGCAAAAGGAGGCGGCAATTTTGCAGCTTGGGTTATTCCCAGTTGATTTTGAGTTGAAGATTCCATAACTGGAATGGGGGACGTCGCAGATATAGAATTTGTTGCCACTCTCAGATAGAATATGGATTGATGAGGTTTGGAAAGCATTCGAAGGAGGTTGGAGAAGGAAAGAAAGTGTCAGGATGCCGAGGAGGATTTTATTTTGTTGTTTGTTTTAGGTATGCTTGGAAAGCGCTTTGGGGAGGGGGTTGAGAAGGAAAAAAGTTCCGAGTCAAAGTTCTTGGTTTTATAATCCGAACTTCTTCAGTCAAGTGAGCTTAAAGGATCTAGTACCTACCGAGGTGAGCTTTGAATAAATATCTGGAACCCAACAGGGACCCTGTGCCCCAAGAAATACAACAATCATCAACAGCTATAGCAGGCATATGCTTTGGGTTTGAGGTTCAAACCTTATATAGATCCACCCTAGGTAGGTGACTAGAAAATAGACCGTGTTGACTAGGCTCGGATTATAGTTGTAAAGCAGCAAGTAGTGACATAGTGTTGGTCTATATTGCTGGTATGTCTTTTCTTATCATCTTTGTTTGCATTTACTTCTCTTTTCATTTTACATTTCTTTCGCCTTCTTCTTTTGTAGAACTGACAAATAATGTCTCACCTGGTGCTAAGGAAATAAGTGGTATCAAATGCAATTATCATATAAGTTTCAGGCTAATCACAGCATATTGTCGTCTCCTCCAATTTCCGCGTTTTATCCTGCATGTCATCCAAACCCACCGTGACCACCATCCAATCACATAAGAACTTGCCCAGCCCCGCCCCAATGAAGATGCAGATAATTACATACACATTGAAGTACATTGCCAGCAACATAGTAATATAGGCTCCGGCAAAAGTCACAGCATGAATAACCGAGCGGGTCAATTGCTGCAATGGCGTGGCGCGAAAAGTAATTGCCCGCCTTGATGACCAGGTCTTGGCAAGTGTGCCGTGCGCGGCTTGGCGTTGAAACTGGCGCGTCAGGAAGTTGTCGTATTCGCGCCCAATGCGGCGACAGAACTCAACCAGCACTACCAGGAGGATTGTGCCTATGCATGTTGCAGCGAACATGCCATTGTTCTTAATCTGCCATCCTGTTGACAGGAAACAGGCGTCGATTGTGTTGAAATTGAACAGCATCTGGATAAGTAAGCGAATTGTTCCGGACATGTGGTCTTGGCACTTACGGAGATTTTGCAGTCGGCGCTGCTGGATCCCATATCCATGCCCTCCATGGCTGTTGATGTCGAGGGTATAGGGAGGGATGTGTACAAAGAGGTGTTTAGAGATGTCCATATCAAGTTGTGCTTGCCCCTCGACCTTATATTTGACCTGATCGCGCCCCCACCAAGTGGAGTCCACCAAGATGGCGTTAGAGAAATGTGCTCAAATCGCCTCAGGTGCGAAATGGCCACTTTGGCGTGCTTTGATGGCTTTGGTAATCTCTAAAAGACCGTTGGCTTCCCCGGAGAATTGCCATCTTCAAATTTCCACTTTCACCCAACTCGCCATGACCTGTTAAGCTGTGACGGATATCTCAATCTCGCCTTAGAGAGATTTGCTCCATTGACACCCTGGCTTAGTCCTTGGACTATATACAAGATGACGTTCCCCAAATTGGGTGCTCGCCACATCCAAAATATGAGCGCCGCCACGTCGTTGGAGCCCCATTGGGGATATTACGACCGGGCGCTGCCCTGCACAAACGACGCAGGCTCATGTGCATATTTAGATGATGTCTATTACTCCCATGACCGGGGAATGCTCTACTCCGGCATCATGTGGTGTGTGATTGGGGCGATACTTCTCAGTTGGGTTGTTCTGAAGCAATTTGGCACACCAATGTCACCAGCGATGGCCACGCCAGCGCCAGTCGGACTATCAAAAGTCCAGCGAGCTGCTTCATCATTCAGTCGGAGATATCTTCTCCCTGATGCGGCTCGGATGATTTTTGGACGGACTACCCGTCTGCAGGTGCTCATTCTCGCCTTGCTAGCGGGATACCTCCTCATTTTCAGCTTTGTGGGCATCGTGTATAACACTTGGGTTACCCCCGTGTCGCATATGCCCGGGGTATACAACACCCGCAACAGCATCGGTCCATGGTCAGACCGCGTAGGCACCCTAGCCTACGCCCTCACCCCACTCTCCGTCCTGCTGAGCAGTCGGGAGTCTTTCCTTTCTCTTATCACTGGCCTGCCATACCAGAGCTTCAACTTCATGCACCGCTGGCTCGGTTACATCATCTTCCTGCAGAGCTCCCTCCACACAATCGGCTGGTGCGTAGTCGAGCTCCGACTCTACCAACCCCAGCCATCCGTTGGCCTCGCATGGGTCAAAGAGACCTACATGGTTTGGGGCATCGTCGCCATGATCCTCTTGCTCCTGCTCTTCGCACTCAGCACCCCCTGGGGAATCAGGCTCACCGGCTACGAGACCTTCCGCAAGTTACACTACATCCTCGCGATGGTCTACATCGGCGCATGCTGGGGCCACTGGAAACAGCTAAAGTGTTTCCTCTGGCCATCTCTGATCTTCTGGTTCCTCGACCGCGGCGCTCGGCTGGTCCGAACCGCCATCCTCCATTACCACCCCGAAGACTCCAGCACGCTGGGTCTCGGCTTCAAAGCCGCAGACGCAACAATCACCCGCTTCCCAGACGAGGAACACGGCGACGTTATCCGCCTCGACTTGGACAACAACCAAGACCCCTGGGCCATCGGCCAACACTACTACCTATGCTTCACACAATGCAGCATCTGGCAATCCCACCCCTTCACCCCGCTCAACTTCCCAACCGTCTCAAAGGGCACAGTGAGACACTCCTACCTCCTCCGAGCTAAGGGAGGGGAAACGAAAAAGGTCGCCGCCCTCGCCGCAAAGGGTAACCCCACAATGCCTATCATCCTAACAGGCGCCTATGGCGAAGAGATCACCACCTCCTTAACACCAAACACAAATATCCTCTGCGTTGCCGGTGGAACGGGAATCACCTATGTCCTCCCCGTCCTTCTGGAACTGGCACAACAACCTCGCTCCCCAGACCGCAAGGTCGAACTGATCTGGGCCATTCGCCACTCATCAAATACAGAGTGGGTCAGCGCTGAATTGGATATCCTCCAAAAAGTACGCAAAGAATTGAATCTTGAGATTAAGATTTTCGCTACGCGAGACTCAAGTAGCAAGACTCCCTCGTTAGACGACTCAGAGAATTGCAATCTATCCGTTGCTGTCAGCCCAGCTAAGATCGAGGTTGACGAGAAGGCCGTGCAGGTCTCGCCTTCTTCGTCGTCCGAGTCTCGCTGTTGTGGGTGTGACAAGCCAACTGCCATTGAGCGGCTTGGTGGTGCAGCCGAAGATATTAATAGACATCCTAATTTGCCTGTGCTTGTTAACTCTTTCCTTGAGGAGACGGTGCGTGGTCCTACTAGTGTCTTTGCTAGTGGGCCTGGTGGCATGATCAGTGATCTCAGGGATATTGTTGCTTCTTGTAACTCTGGTTCAAGGGTTTGGAGGGGGTTGGAGAGGTTTGATGTTAAGCTGGTTTGTGATGATCGGTTAGAGTGGTGATGGTCTGCATATACCTTATCTGCATTTTGATGCCTTTTAGCGGTATATAAGCATTTGCTTTAGATTCATTGTACATATTTCGGCATATCTGCTTCCATCTTTCTTATTCAATATCCCTTGTTCCTAGTGGTTAACTTGGATTCCGACCTGAAGCCTGAATACGGAATCTTGGCGGAATTTCTCATCCAACAACCAAGATGCCGTCAAGATCTTCAAGCCCCACAACGATCATCACCTCTCCTTACCCAACTGATCCGACCTGCCAACTTTGTTTTACAGCAATGATGGTTATCATAGTCTACGGAGTGTTTTACACCGCGGGGTTCATGTAGCAACCTGCCGAGCCGACCGGCAAGCCGATCGAAATACTCAGCACCGAATTTCGCATGCGAGTTCCATCAACGCTGTGACATACTGTAGGTACAGGTGTACAGCAGCCGCTCCGCAGCTCATGAACTCCATTCCAATTTAACCCACCTAGGGCTCGGAGCCGTTATAGCCGGATTCCATGGGCCTATATAAACTACCTCGATGGTCCTTGTTCTCAAGTAGCTATACCATAAACCTGCATTGACAAGCGTGAAGTGTGGGAACGCGTTGTTGCCAAGTACGGCGGTAAAGCCGAGGCGTTTGACTGGGGAACCTGGGGGTTCTTTAATTGGGCCACTGACAAGTCCTGGTTGACAATTTCGTCCATGAACAAGGCGAGGGAATTTGGCTGGCATCGGAATGATTCCACTTTCGATACATGGGTTGAAACCTATCGCTCTTTTGAGAATGCAGGGGTAATGCCTGAAGTTGATCTTTTGAAGAGAGTCTAATGGTGTGTACCTCTGTGAGGAGAAGCGGTCAGAAACAAAAATGAAATCATGGGTTTATAGGGGACACAGATAAAAGAAAAGCAAATCCGACAAAATCAAATCCCCAGACAGACAAAATGCATCGGAATTTCCATAGTGAATGAACCAATCGGATGTTGAGGATGTTGACCCACTTGGAAAATGCCAAATAGAGCGCGCTAGTGGCATAAAACGGTGTAGAAAACTGAGTAGCAATTGGCCCTCGCTTCAATTAGTGTGAATAGTATAATTAGACGGAGTAAGTTCTAGAATAAAAGTGGAGCTTGACTGATCTGCTTGTAGTTAGATAACCCTGAATGCATTTACACCCCTTAATTTTGGTCTTGAAAAATTTCGGGATCTTTTGGGTTCCCATTTCGAGACATTGGACTTACTGGTTAGAATCATTGTCTCAAGATCTTATTCTACAACAAAGAGGAATTTGGAATATGAATAGGAAGCACAACCGCACAATTGAACAGCGATTCTGTTTTGTGAATCAATTTCGCTTCAATGTCTCCTGACCACGTTCACGATATCCAGGAGCTTGCCCCTGATGATCGCACTCTGGCTGGCAAGAGCTTCCGAAAGTATCTTCGGTTCGCATCACAAACAGCACTATGGGCGGCATACATCTACTTCGCAGCTCGGCTTTTCTTTATGGTGACGACTCCAGAGCGAACATGGAAGATGTGGGCTATGTTTTCTGTGGAGGGCTTATTTGCTTGTGAGTATTCACTGCAGAAACAGTAATTAGGAAATACTAATCAAGTCAGATATGTCGCACCATCATCACCAATTGTCCGCGGCAGCGACAAAGCTATCAGAGCAGAACTCTCAAAAAAGGCTAAGGTTGCGTAGTAGCGACAACCTACCACGGGTTGATGTTTTGATCACTTGCTGTGGTGAACCAGCCGACATCATCCTAGATACAGTGCGAGCAGCCTGTGCCCTGGACTATCCCACCTCTCTTCTCCGAGTCCGAGTTCTAGACGATGGAGCATCAACCGAGTTACAGGACGCAATCACCAAGCTTCACCTCAAATGGAGCCACCTCCAGTACCACACACGTGGGAAGCAATCTGGCAAATCCTTTGCAAAAGCAGGAAACCTCAACTACGCCCTATTCTCCCTTCAAACCGAGGACCCACCTGAATTCTGCACAGTCGTCGACGCAGACTCAATCCTCATGCCAGAGTTCTTGAGAGCAACGCTGCCACATCTGCTCCTGGAACCAGAGGCAGCATTGCTGACCACGAGACAGTATTTCTACAATCTGCCCAACGGCGATCCTCTCTCACAGTCACGGGCTTACTTCTACACATGTGAGAATACAGAACTCGATCTTCTCGGCCATGCCCTGGATGCAGGCTCCGGTGCGGTTTTCCGGCGCGACGCCATCCTCGGTGCTGGCGGGTATCCAACCTACTCTTTCTCGGAGGACTGGCAACTTTCTCTGATCCTGCGAGGACTAGGAAAGCGCACGATGCAGGTGCAAGAAGTGCTGCAGTTTGGACTTGTTCCTACTTCCCTTGCTGGACATGTTAAGCAGCGTAACCGATGGCATATTGGTCACTCTCAGCAGATCTCTGTGCTGTTTCCATCAGCTAATAAGGGGATTCCGGAGAAGTTGCGGTGGGATATCGCTATTGGCGGATTGTCTATTATTGCAGGATTGGTTTGCTATATGATTGGCTATGTCGCTCTGCCTTTCCTATTGGTTTCCGGGCATGGTTTGATCCCTGCTGAATCGACATTGCAGGTCAAAGTCCAGGTTATTCTCGCTACGATCCATGTTGCGTCTACTTGGGCATATGACTGGTTCC